GTGAACTCGCATATTGTGTATTAGATTGGTTGGTTGGAGTGCCCATTAGATTCCTTCCTTTCTCTTTCACACAAAAACGAGGCAAGCTCGTTACCGGTCTATGGGAAGAGGTAGGGGTTGACCTGATAACACAGCTACCTAACTCCCAAGGCTACGATGCTGTCTTGGTTTGCACAGACCTGTATGGAAAACAAATTTACGCTATTCCTTGCACCAGCTCCATCACAGCCGAAGGCGTTGCCGATATTTACTGTAAGACCTGGGTCAAAATAGGTCTTAGGGTAGGTTTTGGTATGTGGAGGTTTATGTTGTAGCGTGCTAGGAGCAGGCTGGAGCTCGAAGGGAGCTACGAGAACCGCGACCGAGGACGGGAATGACCTAGTAGTGGTTGGAACGACGGGATGGTGACCCTTGAGGGGTTCCTAGGAGGTCCAGGGAGGTCCCTAAGGCGTAGGGAGGTTAAGGAAGAGTGCGGGACCGTACGATATTGCGTAGTAGGAGTTGTACTCGCTAGAACGTCAATATAGGATCGAGTAGGTCGTATGTATAGATGGGTCTCGAGGTTGTAAGCTCCCGAGAAGGGATGTGCCAGGGAGGGTAGGTCCCTGGGGGCTAGGCTTGAGGATGGACGTCCTCGAGTGTGGGAGGTGGTAACGGAGAAGCAGTACATAGTTCGACGTGAGGGGTAGCTTCGACGTTACCTAGATCGAGGTCCTGAAGCCTATAGAATAGCTAGGGAGCTCGAGGAGGTTTGGGGAGGTTAGCTCACCAAGGCGGTAGGCGTTGGGGAGCTTTAGTATTGTTTGAGGGAGCTCGGGAACTCACTCGGATTGCTTAGACGTGAAGTAAAAGCGTGTATTGGATCGTATAGACGATCACAGAGACAATAGACAAGAGTTGAGAGAAACAGAGGTAATGAAACAGAGAGTAAAGAGAAATCCGTATGGTTAGCAGGTACAAAGGGACAGGGACTGGACCTATGCAAAAGGGTGTGTGTTCAAAATATACCAAGCTGGGGCTTCAGGACATTGCGGCGTTACTTAAATAGGTACGGGAAGTGAACAAGAGAACATCTGGAGGCATGAGGTAGCTAATCGGAGGGAGGGAGGTAATCAAGATTAATACTTAAAGGGGTTATCGGCTAGAGGGCTTTCGTACGCGTGTCGGGGTGAAGGACGTTTGGGTAGTTGCATCAGAAATACTTGGGGAGGTGTCTGGTGGTACTTGGGGAGGTGCGGAGGACATACAGGAGGTGGGTAGGACGTATGGCAACGTGTGGTGGTTACTGGGACTGGTCTGGTTGTAGCCAGGGCATGACATTTACTACCGAGAAATCTTCCGTCTCCATGGTCTTCCTCTTCACTTTAAATCCGACCACGGACCCCAGTTTGCAGCTAAACTCATGTGATCCCTTCTCGCTAGGCTAGGAATTAAATCAGATCTAACCTCCGGATACCGTCCTCAGTCCAATGGCCAAACCGAACGAGCAAATCAGGAAGTAGAGAAATACATCCGCCTCTATGTGGGACGACGACAAGATGACTGGGCAGAGCACCTTCCCATGGCAGAGTTTGTGATTAACTCACGGACTCATTCTGCTCTAGGCATGTCCCCGTTCGAGCTAACCTATGGCTATCTTCCCCTGTTCAATATCCCAGTGGGCCAACGCAGCGGTATTCCAGCTGTAGATGACCGTATACGGATTCTCCGAGAAGCGCGACAAGATGCCGGGGCTGCCTTACACCTAGGAAAGAAACAACAGAAGGAGGGATACGAACGCGGGAAGTGGAAAGCTCATCAATTTAAAGTTGGAGACCTAGTCTGGCTCAGTGCAGAGGACATTAACCTTCAGCTTTCCAGTGAAAAGTTAGGAGATCGACAGCTTGGCCCTTATCGCATTCTGGAGAAAATTGGCCCTTTAGACTACCGCCTTGACCTTCCCCTATCCCTAGATCGCCTCCATCCCGTCTTCCATGTTGATAAACTATACCCCTGGAAAGGTAACTCCATTAATGGCGAAATACCAACACCACCAGAGCCGGTATACTTAGAGGATGAAGACGAACCGGAATACGAAGTAGAGGAGATCTTAGACAGCCAGGTTCGATGGAAGAAGTTGGAATATTTGGTTAAGTGGAAAGGTTACGACGCAGGGAACAACTCTTGGGAACCTGCAGCCAACCTCAGTCGAGCACCAAAAATTGTTCGGGCCTTTCATAAAAAACACCCAACGGCGGCAAAACCTTGACCATCGAGGACAATGGTCATAAGGAGGGGGTTAATGTCATAAAGTACGCAGCCCCTATCATTTTCCTTTTCTCACCGTCTCGACGCCTTTACTTGTACAATACATCATCCCATCACTGTCAAACCTCCATCGATTACTGATCCACCTGACCCATCTTCTCCTTCTACTGGCTGTCATATGCATGCAATTCACCCAATACGCTTCCCGGCCCGGCCCGGAGCGGCCGGACTTCGGATTAATAACCTTGTGACCTACATTCTATTTATTTATTATTCCGAGCTTTCATCGAGGTCTTCTGACTGTATCTGGGATGTATATAAGCTAGAATACTTTGTACGTTGTAGTCAAGCTTGAAATCAAGTGTACCACCTTATCCCAGTCTTTAATATCTTCTTTACCCTTTGCTTCCGGACTCCCGGATCATCAGGAACCCCATTTAGGCTGCTCATACCAATCTTGCACTCTTGCCATAATTCCCGGGGACACCAACAGTGTGTGAAGGGTGTTGCTAATAGCTTCACCGACGTCCCACTCCCAGTGTGTACTACAGGCCAATACTCAGTTCTGGACCTCGGAATTATCCCGGGCTATTCCCGGGCCAGATCCGGCCTCAGAACCTCTATAGCTATTGACCTGTAGGCACGGTCTTGTCAGTATTTCAAGCTTACACTTCATTACACTGTTCCTTCACCAAAATACCCCTCCATTATGTCCTTCGGCTCTGATTCAGGATCTTTCGTCGAGTATGCCTTATCGTTACCTGATCCGGTCGGCCCGGACCCGGAAACCTCGGATTTGTCGGACCAATCTAGCCCATCTGACCACAATTCTGAACAAGAATCAGTTCAGTCCGGTACTAATTCCGATCCTGACCAGTCAAGTTATGACTCGGAATTTCCTGGCCCATTTGATTATGATTATCTTCATGAATCCTCTGACTTCGACTCGGATCACCCCGGCCCTTACGATCTCCGTTATCTACATTCCTATCCTTCATCCTCAGCCTCAGACTCAGTGGAGTCGTTCCACTCATTTGCCTCTGATAACTCCGAAGCGCCGGAACTCCGGCCCGGTGATGACAGATCTGGTCATCCTCACCTCAGACCCGATGGCAGGCTTTTGGACTCTGAGAGGGAAAGGCGCAGGGTGCTCGGGTTGTGCTTTTATTGTGGAGGAGAACATATGAAGGTAGATTGTCTCAAACTGCAGGTCTGTACAGGACAGAACTATGATGCAGATAACTCTGAATCAGATGTTCCGGGCTCCGATGATGGTTCCGAGTAATTCCTAATTTTTCTACATTTTAATTCTGAATTTTCCAACTATTCCCAAGTCTTAGACCGAGTTTTCCTTTTCTTTCATGATTCTCACTTATTTGACCTTACAAATTCCTTTCTTTCTGAATTTCGGCCCGTTTTTATGCCCTTCAATGATTATTCAGTATTTGACATTATCATTGATATTATTTCCGAGCTTCGGCCCGCATTTTTGCGATTTTTCCAAGGTTTGAACCAATGTTTCCTTTTCTTTCATGATTTCACTTGTTGACCTTGCAAATTCCCATTCCTTCCGAACTTCGGCCCGATTTTTAGGCCTTTTTATGACGATTCATTGTTTGACATGATATATACTTCATTTCCGAGTTTCGGCCCAAGTTTTGGCTCCCTTGTTATTATTCTCAATGTCTGGGGCTCATTTCCGCTTTTTCCGAATGACGGCCCGATTTTTATATCTTTACATAATCAATTTTTGTTGACACTATGATTCACTTCACTTCCAAGCTTCGGACTGCATTTTTTCCATCCATTCCACTTCTGTTTCGAGTTTTTGAATATTCAGGTAATGTTTCATTGTAATGACTATTATTGCTTCATTCCGGTCCGATTATGCCGATGTTTTTGCTTATTATTGATTACTAATTATTCCATTCCATGTTTCCGACCTTGCTCCGATTTTTCCGTCATTTTATTGGCATTATCTCAAGCTTGCTCATTGGCACTTCCACTCACTTACCTGTTATCATTTCTATTTATGTTGATTCCTTTGCTTCACCCACAAGCTGCTCCTCTTTTTAGTAGGATTTCATTGATTATTTGTTAGGATACAGTTTCTACTCCCACTTAGATCCGTTGATCTGCCGGGTAGACCGAAACACTTTTTTCCAACTCATTTTTTATGATTATCCTTATAGCGCTTTCCGGCTTTGCTTCCCTTGGAACTTCCGGTCTCGGGATGGTTCTACCATCATTCTGGACACTTTGTGTCAATTTCGGCCTTTTTAAGGCATCGCTCTTGTGTGGATATCAGCTTAGGTTATCATCTCTGGCAGCACTTTGTGTTGATTGGTATGCCGGACTTTTCCGCAGTTTCCGACGATTTTTCCGGCCCAATCCCGCCCCTCGGTTCGGATTTTATTCCGAAATTTTCCCTACTCCATTACCCAATCCTCCTACATCACCATTTACTCCAACTTCGGCTCTTGATTCATGGCTTTCGAGGGCTCAAGCGTACTTGGGGGATACTGCTGTATTCCAGTCCTGTAGTCCAATTTTCGGGCCAGCCACTCCCGATTTTCGAAATTCGGAACTTGTTTTAGTCTTTTGAGACTTCAGAACACTTTCCGGCCGGCCCGGACTTCGGAAGTTACATGGTCATCCATTCTTTTGTTGATTATTTTGTTACGAGTTTACTTTGTTTCAATCTGGTTTTTGTTTGCTTTATTATGTTCCTTTGACCCCCTACATCGGCAGGCCGATCCTTTCCAGTTTCTCCGAAACTTCTTCTTTTAATTTATTCTTCACTACTGGATCTAATCCAATCCCTTTGCTTTACTATACTTTACTATTTCACTGCACACATATTCACAGAGGCCTTCGTGGGCTCAGGCCTAACGGGGGGATACTGTCATATGCATGCAATTCACCCAATACGCTTCCCGGCCCGGCCCGGAGCGGCCGGACTTCGGATTAATAACCTTGTGACCTACATTCTATTTATTTATTATTCCGAGCTTTCATCGAGGTCTTCTGACTGTATCTGGGATGTATATAAGCTAGAATACTTTGTACGTTGTAGTCAAGCTTGAAATCAAGTGTACCACCTTATCCCAGTCTTTAATATCTTCTTTACCCTTTGCTTCCGGACTCCCGGATCATCAGGAACCCCATTTAGGCTGCTCATACCAATCTTGCACTCTTGCCATAATTCCCGGGGACACCAACAGTGTGTGAAGGGTGTTGCTAATAGCTTCACCGACGTCCCACTCCCAGTGTGTACTACAGGCCAATACTCAGTTCTGGACCTCGGAATTATCCCGGGCTATTCCCGGGCCAGATCCGGCCTCAGAACCTCTATAGCTATTGACCTGTAGGCACGGTCTTGTCACTGGCTTCCGCCACCTTCCTTGTTCCTAAACTGTACAGTATTACATCGTTGTTTCTCGCAGACCGGATTATGTATATATAGCCAACCCTCCACAGCCTGGTCCCTTATCTTGACCTCTCTGTCATTATCTGGGACCAGGTATGTGCTTACTTATTATTACCTATGACTACGATACTCAATATATCTCTGTCATTATCTGGGACCAGCCTGCCGCCGTTCTGCTTAGTCACTCCGCCTTGTTGCCCTGTTCAGTTGCTCCACCTCGCCGTTCTGCTTAGTCGCTCCGCTTTCCCGCTCCGTTAGTCACTCCGCCTCTGCCGCTTCGTGACACATTCCACGCTCGATACCCTCAGAAACCTGGACCTTGATCACAAAAATATTTTATTCCTTTTCCACCGTGCTCCGCCGAAGTTTACTTTGTGCGTTTAGAGGGTAAACACAATGATAGTAAATTGAGTGTTTACCTCTCTCTCTTAATTGCTTATAGTATTCTTCAATTTACTGTTTCACTTATGTTTCATTCACACTTAAACTACTTATACTTCGAACTAATTAATTCTTCCGCCGCTTCGCGGTCCATTCACTTTCCGACTTTAAAATGCGATAACATTTTTTATATACAAAGCAAGATAAAAAATATATGTAGGAAGGTACAAGGAGGCAAGACTACAAGAAAGGGCCGAGGGGCTGACATCCAATGTCCGATGATACGCTACTCTACTCCTCCCTTTCCTTCCCTTTCTCCGACTGGGCCTTCTTCGGCGCTGGTTCATCGTTTTCCTCTTCTCCTTCTTCCTCCACTTCCACTTCTTCCCCGTCCTTCTCCATTTCCCCTTCAATCTCCCTTTCTTCCTCTTCATCACTATCTGCTTGTAAGACCTGGGTCAGAATAGGTCTTAAGGTAGGGTTTGGTATATGAAGGTTTATGTTGTAGTGTGCTAGGAGCAGGCTGGAGCTTGAAGGGAGCTACGGGAACCGCGACCAAGGACAGGAATGACCTAGTAGTGGCTGGGGCGAAGAGATGATGACCCTTGAGGGGGTTCCTAGGAGGTCCAGAGAGGTCCCTAAGGCGTAGGGAGGTTAGGTAGAAGGATGGAACCTTGTAATATCGCGTAGTAGGAGTTGTACTCGCTAGAACATCAATATAGGAATCAAATAGGTCGTAGATGGAATTGGGTCTCGAGGTTGTAAGCTCCCGAGAAGGTATACGCCTGGGAGGGGAGGTTCCCGGGGACTGGGCTTGAGGATGGACGTCCTCGAGTGTTGAAGGTAGTAATGGAGAAGCGATACGTGGTTCGACGTTACTTTGATCGAGGTCCCGAAGCTTATAGAGTAGCTAGGGAGCTTGAGGAGGTTTGGGGAGGTTAGCTCACCAAGGTGGTAGGCGTTGGGGAGCTTTAGTATTGTTCGAGGGAGCTCGGGAACTCACTCGGATTGCTTAGACGTGAAGTAAAAGTGTGTATTGGATTGTATAGACAATCGCAGAGACGATAGACAAGAGTTGAGAGAAACAGAGATAAAGAAATAGGGAGTAAAGAGAATTCTGTATAGGTAGCAGGTACAAAGGGACAGGTACTGGACCTATGTAAAGGGTGTGTGTTCAAAATATACCAAGCTGGGCTTCTGGACGCTACTGGACTGCTTAAATACGTATGGTGAAGTTAACAAAGAGACATAGTATGAAACAGGCACTTAATGGGGTTTCTACGTACATGAGGACGGAATGATGGGCACATGTGCGGGGTTCCAGGACCCTGTCATGGAGTGGTTCGGTTGCATTGAGGGGAACTAAGGATCGTGGAGGTTGTTCTAGCAGTAAGGAGGTCTGCGGGACATTGGGAGTGTTCTCAGGGATTCAGGGAAGGGGGCTGAAGAGGTAAGGGGGCTGAGGAGGTTGGGAACTATGTTAAGGAGGTTATGGGCTATGGAATTCGGGGCGAGGCATGACACTGCTGCCCTCCTTCTTTTCTTCAACGGTGCCGATGGCCCGGCCCCCGGCAATTCAGGGGGCGAATTCCTTCTCCTATTGGCATCCATTATCAACTATTCCAACTTCCGGGTCATGTGGTGATGGTAAGTATTTGCCTTGATTTGACCATCCCGGAGTTTGGCGAATAATTGAGCCATCTGGCTCTCAAGTACTGCCATCTGCTTGCCGATTGGATTTCCTCCTCCCTCCCGCTTCACCGTCGAGGGCTGCCCGGTAACGAGCTTGCCTCGTTTTTGTGTGAAAGAGAAAGGAAGGAATCTAATGGGCACTCCAACCAACCAATCTAATACACAATATGCGAGTTCACTGCTATCAAATTTATTTAATAGCAAGGGGTAGCGTTGGCAAAGGTTCCGCAAAGCTTTGAGAGCTAAGTAAGAAGCTTTGATCAATCAATTTGAATCGTTCTAAGGATTCGATATATTCCTTTGATCAAGGTAGATTTAGCACGATTTGTGCTGTGGTTTGTATTGATTTGGGTATATCAAGAATTGGGGGTTTGAATCAAAGTAAATTAAAACCGAAACACACAGACCCCTACGGAGGGCTAGAACTATGTGCTGGCACAACCACACAGCGTGATTTGCCCTTAAGACCAACGACTGATCCTAAGTTCGAAGAATACCCAACAACTGGATAGACTTCTCGCAGTCACAAGGAGCAGAACACGACGTTCCTATACTCACAAGTGCCGGGCCCGAATGGCTGCTAGCGAAGAGGTTTCAGTCTGGTGGGAGTGTGTCTTTCCTTTTTACGGATTAGCACTGCAACGTCGTCCCAAAATCACTTGTATTCCAGATACATCGGATTGCTATTTATACATACAGAATATAGAGTCGCATAGTACAATTAATTTAATACAATAAACGTTCGGAACCGCAAGGAAACTTCTACACTCAGTCAGATACCATTTAATTTGAATCTACATGTCCTTATTTGGTCCATATTGGTTCCAAGATTCTAGTATACCTCCAAACATAGGTAGGTACTTCAATATTCATTTAATTTAATTGTTTTGGAGGATGACTCGAATGGTGTTCAACTGTCATTGCGGTCCAACACTTACTTCGATCGTTTGTCACCTCGTCCGGAGGCAAATCAGCTCTCCTCGATTCTAATCCTATCAATCTGATTCATCTGGATTAAACTAATTGCTTCTCTCTTTCAATAGATACCCATTGTGCCTATACTTTATCAAGGGAGTTACGCATAGTATTCATTTAATTGTATTCTTCAATATTTTCTACGTCAGGACTCTTTGACATTCATTTGATATGCCTTCGGAGCCTCGCAGTACTTCGATCATTCTTCTAGTCATTTTACTCAACCATGCAACTTGATTGGTCTATTAGACTAAATCGCAGTCTTTTAGATTAATGCATGATCTCGTTCTAGAAGGAGTATTTGATAATTCCTGAGTTCTAGAAAGTCATTTCGAGTCAATCCTCGGTTCATGGTCACTTGAGTAAGTTCTTCCAAACTCCTGCCAGTGTAAGGTCCAATAAGAATACCCTTGGTATGTCATACGTGAATGGTCATCCTTCGGATGTAGTCCGAGTCTGGTATAATCCTGCTTGACAAACAGGTAGACTGCTATCCGTAGGTAGTATCGGGGATGGGTAAACTAACCAACTTGTGGTAGTATGGGTATATGGTCCCTTCAACTTATTAGACTGATTCAGTATCGACTTTGACTGTCAATCTGGGTCTCAATTACAGTCCTCTTGATACAAATCTATACGTGAAAATGTCACAATTCACAGCATAGACGTCTAGCCAAAATTTAGGTGTGTCACCGGAATACAAGCACCGCACATTTGCGTCGTGGCAGGGTTTGCAGATGACAGAACTCCTCTTGCCAGCCTGCATCTGGCAAGAGATCTTCTTGCTCCTGCATTGTTTGCAGGGAGCCCTGTCATCTTCGTCATTGTCGTCATCATCCCCGTCGCCGCCGTCATCAGGATCCCCGCCAACAGGCTACCAACAGTAATGTTAGTAAAAGGCTAATTTTGAGGGCCTTGGCCTTGCCTTTCCCCTTTTCCTTTCGGATTTCCACTACCACCGAACTTCCTCCTGGCAAGGAACCCCGCTGACTATGAGCGGTAGCCGCCTTCACCATTACCCTCCGGCACTCCTCCAACTCCCTGCGCTGCTGCCTCCTTCTGTTTCTGCGCCTCTTCCTTGGCCTTCTTCTTCTTTGCCGCCGCCGCTTTCCTTGCCTTCATCTTGCGGACCTTTTCCTCTGCCTGCTGGATGGCCTCGTCGTCGTCTAACTCCAAGGCGTCGTCATCGTCTTCACTAGGTTCGTCATGGACAGTGAGGTCGATGGGTGGTGGTGGAGCAGGCCGTGACCTCGAAGGTCCGGCGGTCGAAGATTTGTTGCTTGTGGTGGTTATGGTTCGGCTGGTCGACATCTTGGTGGACTTAGAGGTTTTGGAAAAGTTAGGGCCTCAACGGCAAAACCCTGGGCCTTTTATATGGCAAAACTGCGCACGGACCAGCGAAAATTTTCCTTCGAATTGTACTCGGTTTACGGTGAACCAACGAAATTTTCCTGATGACTAAAAGGATAAATGCTGGTGCTAACGGGATATAAAATTTTTTCTCGGGTGACTAATAGTATTTCCCGATACTAACGGCTTTCAAGGGCTCAAGCCTAAGAGGGGGATACTGTCAAGTCCATGCCTCGGGCCTCTATTCCGCCGCTCGGTATTCCGAGATCTACCTTTTATTGTAATCTCATTCTTATTGTTCTTTCTCGCTACACATACCCTTTCATTCTAGTCTCTCCTTATTGTCTTTTACTCTACCCTGCAGGTACTACACATATAGCTCCTGGTAGTTAGTCTGGCGTTCCACACCAATGTGCTGATCCGTAGATATAAATACTGCCTGTACGCTACTGTAGTTCCTCAGTTTAATTATCAACTTAGACCTCCTCTTAGTCTTCAGGCTCATCGCCTCGAAGTACTCTGTACTCTAACCTTAGGACTTATAAGTTCTTTGGTTCGCTCCTCATCACCGGCAATACTGCTGCTCCGGCTTGGCTGCTCCTGGCTCCTCTCTTCTATACTCTCGATCTCCGGGGACTAGCGGCGTAACGACGGTGTTGTTAATAACTTCCCCACTGTCCCATTTGACCTTCCGCCCTTAGACACCTTGTGGCCTCTGGCACGGTTACAGGGTGTACATGATCTTAACAGAGGCTCCGAAGACATATCAAATGAATGTCAAAGAGTCCTGACATAGAAAATATTGAAGAATACAATTAAATAAATACTATGCATAACTCTCTTGATAAAGTATAGGCACAATGGGTGTCGATTGAAAGAGAGAAGCAATTAGTTTAATCCAGATGAATCAGATTGATAGGATTAGAAATGAGGAGAGCTGATTTACCTCCGGATGAGGTGACAAACGATCAAAGGACGTGCTGAACACCATTTGAGTCATTCTCCAAAGCAATTAAATTAAATGGATATTGAAGTACCTACCTATGTTTGGAGGTATACTAGAATCTTGGAACCAATATGGACCAAATAAGGACGTGTAGATTCAAATTAAATGATATCTGACCTATTGTAGAAGTTTCCTTGCGGTTCTGAACGTTTATTTTATTAAATTAATTGTACTGTGTGACTCTATATCCTGTATGTATAAATAGCAATCCAATGTATTGTTAAGATCATGTACACCGTGTAACCGTGCCAAGGCCACAAGGTGTCTAAGTGCGGAAGACGAGTGGGACAGTAGTGAAGTTATTAACAACACCGCCGTTACGCCGTTAGTCCCCGGAGATCAAGAGTATAGAGGGAGGAGCTAAGTAGCAGCCAAGTCGGAGCGGCGGTATCGCCGATGACGAGGAGCGGACCAGAGAATGTTCAAGTCCTAAGGTCGAGTAGAACGTACTTCAAGGCGTTGAGCCTGAAGACTTAGATAAGAGCTAAGTTGAGAAGGGAGATCTAAGTTGATAATTAAACTGAGGAACTACAGTAGCGTACAGACAGTATTTATATCTACGGAACGGCGCATCGGTGCGGAGCGCTAGACTAACTACTAGGAGCTATACGAGTAGTACCTGCAGGGTAAAGTAAAAGACAATAGGGAGGGACTAGAATGAAAGGGTATGTGTAGTGAGAAAGAACAATAAGAGTGAGAATACAATAAACCATGAATCTTTGGAGTACCGAGTGGCAGAATGGAGGCCCGAGGCATGGACTTGACATGTATCTGGAATGGAAGTGATTTTGGGATGACGTTGCAGTGCTAATCCGTAAAAAGGAAAGACACACTCCCACCAGACTGAAACCCCTTCGCTAGCAGCCATTCGGGCCTGGCACTTGTGAGTATAGGAACATTGTGTTCTGCTCCTTGTAACTGCAAGAAGTTATATCCAGCTGTTGGGTATTCTTCGAACTTAGGATCAGTCATTGGTCTTAAGGGCAAATCATGCTGTGTGGTTGTGCCAGCACATAGTTCTAGCCCTCCGTAGGGGTCTGTGTGTTTTGGTTTTAATTTACTTTGATTCAAACCCCCAATTCTTGATATACCCATATCAATACAACTAAAGCACAAATAGTGCTGAATCTACCTTGATCAAAGGAATATACCGAATCCTTAGAACGATTCAAATTGATTCATTGAAGCTTTCCCCTAGCTCTGAAAGCTTTGCAGAACCTTTGACAATGCTACCCCTTGCTATTAAATATATTTGATAGCAGTGAACTTGCATATTGTGTATTAGATTGGTTGGTTGGAGTGCCCATTTGATTCCTTCCTTTCTCTTTCACACAAAAATGAGGCAAGCTCGTTAACAATGAGGAGCACACCAGAGAACTTTAAGTCCTGAGGTTAGAGTAAGGAGAGCTTCAAGGTGATGAGCCTGAAGACTTAGAGGACAAGAGGAGAAGACCTAGGATGATCCTAAGTTGATAATCAAACTGAGGAACTACAATATAGTACGGGCAGTATTTATACTTACTAATCGGCGTACTGGGGCAGAGCACCAGACTAGCTACTAGGGGCTATACATATAGTACCTGCAGGGTAGAGAATAAGACAATAAGGAGGGACTAGGATGAATGGGTATGTGTAGCGAGAAAGAACAATAAAGGGTAGATCTCGGAGTACTGAGCGGCGGAGCAGGGCACCAAGGCATGGTGTGAAATTCATGCCCAACCACTAACATAAAATCCAACTGAGCCAAAAGGCTACTATGACAGGATAATTGTCATAGGTGGTTGGGACCATATATACCACATATATTAAGACCTCTCTTCATGATCTTAACACATGGACTTCACAAGATAACAAACGATCAAAGGATGTGTTGAGCATCAATGACAGATGAACACCATTCAAGTCATTCTCTAAACAATTAAGATTAAATGAATAATGAAGTACCTACCTATGTTTGGAGGTATACTAGAATATTGGGGCCAATATAGACCAAATGAGAACAAATAGCTTCAAATTAAATGATGTATAACTTATTAGAGAAGTTTCCTTGCGGTTCCAAATGTTTATTCTATTGAATTAATTGTACTGTGCAATTCTATATCCTGTATGTATAAATAGTGATCAGATGTATCTGGAATACAAGTGATTTTGGGATGACGTTGCAGTGCTAATCCATAAAAAGGAAAGACACACTCCTGCCAGACTGAAGCCTCTTTGCTAGCAGCCATTTGGGTCCGGCACTTGCAAGTATAGGAATGTCATGTTCTGCTCCTTGTGACTGTGAGAAGTTATATCCACAGGGTATTCTTCAAACTTAGGATCAGCTGTTGGTTTTAAGGGCAAATCACACTATGTGGTTGTGCCAGCACATAGTGCTAGCCCTCCGTAGGGGTCTGTGTGTTTTGGTTTTGATTTACTTTGATTCAAACCCCCAATTCTTGATATACCCATATTCATACCACTAAAGCACAAATTGTGCTGAATTCACCTTGATCAAAGGAATATATCGAATCCTTAGAATGATTCAAATTGATTGATTGAAGCTTTTTCCTTAGCTCTCAAAAGCTTTGCAGAACCTTTGACAATGCTACCCCTTGCTATTAAATATATTTGATAGAAGTGAACTTGCATATTGTGTATTAGATTGGTTGGTTGGAGTGCCCATTAAATTCCTTCCTTTCTCTTTCACACAAAAACGAGGCAAGCTTGTTATCGGGGGCATCACTGGGGTATAGAGGAAGGGAAGAAGGCATCGTAGGTTAGTACCGGGTGTTAAGATTATGCGGAGAGGTCTTAATACATGTGGTATATATAGTCCCGACCACCTATGACAATTATCCTGTCATAGTAGCCTTTTGGCTCAGTTGGATTTTGTGTTAGTGGTTGGGCATGAATTTCACACTGGGGCATGACAGATGCACCATTGAATAGCATGAGCAGCATGAGTGGCACATGTGCAATTAGTGGGACAGAGTGGGGAAGTGTCCTCAAAGTCACTTTGGTTGGAATGGCATCATTTGCGACCATGAACAACATTAGACTTCGAAATACTTGAGTTCTTCTGGAATTCATTTGCACGGTCTCGAAAATATGAGTTGAATTGTCAATTGAATCTACATAGCAACATGGACTATGAGTTGAGCAAGATGAAAAGATTCAGTTCAAGGAGAACAGGCAAGAAATGACTGAGTAATGGGCAAAATCAAGTGGCACATGAAAAACACCAGGACACTTGATTCAAGCGCCGTAAATAATATCTGACACGATTTCACTCAGTCTGATTCGACAAGTTTCTCATTGGGACTGAGGCATGGTCTTGACAACAAGAAGAGTGACTTGGGACATTTTATGAGAGTGGCTAGTCAATATTCTTAAGAGTTTCAGGTTTTTGTCATGGCCTCTCTCAATAATTTTCCAAGAATCAAGGATAGCATATAATTTTTTGTTTGGTAATATTCCCAAGATTTGTACTCTTATAGATTTTGAAAACTCAATTCTTGAAAATTGCTCAAAGTTTTGTGCAGCAGTGTGCTGTCCCATTTGATTCAACTTAGATACTGATCGGCCCTTTATTGCTGAAGGCGCGGGCTTGCCATTATACATGATCTTAACACAGACTGGGAAGAGGATGAGGAAGAAATGGATGATAATCAGTGACTTTATGCATATAGGTATTATAAGAGCCTACATATGCTTGTTGTCATTGTATTTACATTGGATATAGGCTTGAGACAAGTTGTAAAAGAGACCTGGTATTCAGCGGAAGCGGGGACAAGAATTTCATCCCGTGCCGCTTAAGTTAAACAGCACAAATCCTTAACCGTGAATGCACCCTGACTTTCAGCACTGATTCTGGTTAACAGTGAGGACTCATTTCTTTTGGTTTGTTCTCAACATCTCCTGGACAGCCTCAACTTTGTTTAACAGATACAAGGGCATAATAATTAGAAGACATGTACAAAACAGTGGACTAATGAAAAATGATAGGCTAAATAGAGCTTTTTGCAGATCTGTAATCAGTATGTATTTCAAATAGTGGAAAGGTGTCGCAGAAGGGTAGAAATGTCCAAAATAAGATAAGTGTCACTGGTCAGGGAAATGTATAACGTATAAAATAAACATGAAATGGATAAGTTACAATTTTTGGTGACAGTAGGATGACAGGGGACACACTCGACGAACAGAGTTATGAACGACAAAAGTTATGAACAACATCAACCTGACGGAACGGGGAGCTCACTTGCGCCTCGACACAGGTTTATCGTGATGCTTCGTCTTTGACTTTTTGGTTGGAGGTTGCTCCTCCTCCTCTTCCTCCTCTTCCTCGTCACTACTTTGCTTGACCTGATCACTTTCATCTTCATCTTCCTCTTCATCGTCTTCGTCGCTATCAGGAACGAACGGCTCGCTTTTCTGCCCCTTGCGCGGAGGAGCAGGCGCGTTTTTGGTGGGCTTGCCGGTTTTCAGTTTCACCTTGTCGTCTTCAGAGGATTCGTTGTCCGACTCATCCGATCCATAGACAGGCGGAATGACGGGTTTTTTCGCAACGACAGGGGCGTCCGTAGCGGTGGGCTTTCTAGATTTCGGTGCTTTTTTGGTCTAAGGGCATCGGAATAAGGGGAAGAACGACCGAAGAATAGTTGATACATACAGCGGCGGCGGCAGCTACAACAGCGTCTGCTGCGGCAACTTGTTCAGGAGATCGAGCATTGTATTTTTCCTTCTCCTCGCTGTACACAACCTTCAGTTCTTCGGCCAGCTGTTTATAGTGCTGTATATTAAAGATGTAATCAGTAACGCGTCGGACTGACTACAAGGAGCACACGAGACGAGACCGACGTTTTTCTGATCCTCAGGAAGAGTACTCCATTGTTCGGACATGAGTTTACGAAGTTCGGCAGTAGGAAGATCCGGGTGTTGCTCCTTTACTTTTTGTCGAATCTGGTTCTGGAACAGGAAGAACGAAGAGGCAGGTCGCTTCGGTGCATTGGGATCTTTCTTGACTCGTTTGCGCTTTCCATTTATCACCTCTTCGTCGCCTGTTTTGCCTTTCCCCTTTGTGTGACCATTGATCAAGGAAGGGGTACCGATCGCTTTCGCGAATTCTTCAGCCGCTTGGGCAGCTTCCCGCATGCTTTGAGCAACGGACATGAGACTATCCGTATACTAGAATACAAAAAGATTGGTGAAAGCCTGAAACAAGACGTTTGATCCTTGCCTGTGCGCGGAGTTCATCCACAGTAGGTGCCATTTTGACTAACGATAGAGAAAGGAGGAAGATGAATATTTTTGTCAACTTTGAAACATTATGATTGCGAACAAAAAAGAAGTCATGTGGCTTTGTTGCTTACGTCATTCTATTCAAGCGCCGCTCAAACATCCACATCTTCACGCCGTTACCGACGAATTTCCAGCGGGCCACAGACTTGAACTGAACTAAGTCGTTCTGACTTTCTATTCCTTTGTTCTTCGTGGTAGTTCCTTTCTCCTTCTTTTTGAATTCGGATCTTTTGCGTTGCGTTGCAATCTGAGAGCAAATCGGCGAAAAAAAAACCGAATAGAACGATTTCGATCCCTGTTCCCTCAGAGAAAAAAGAGAAAAGAAAAAGGACGGAATGGAACAGTCAAATTTCTACACGACATGGCTGACGTCGCAGCCAGGTCAATCGACAAATTCATCTACTTTCGACGATTGGCCTAAAGAGCGTCCAACGACGACTACCCACGCGTCTGCAACGCCCTCAACAACATTGGGAGAGATAAATGACATTTTCACCGAACTCGGAGGTCTGTTTCGTTTTGTCTTGTCAATTATCATTGCTCTCGACGACCGGCTGACTTTTGACGTTATTGCACAGCCCCACCTTCGGCTCCCACCAACTCTCCCTCGACATCTTTCTTCGCACCTCATAACTACTATGTTCAAGCTCCATACAATTCAATACCGTACGGCTCTTCATGGCAACCCTCGTCTTCTTCATCGACCACTGTACCTGTATCTTCCTACTCTTCCTTGAATGGCGCCACGAGTTCGGCAGCGCATTCAATGCAGCGGCCTTTGCAGTCGCCAACACAGATGGTAATAGAGTAAGCTATTTTTTCATCCCAATTTCATGTCATTCATGATTTTCCAGTCCTGCTTTGACCTCTGTGGGTGGCCCCTCTCAGTCAGCTTCGCAACCACCAAGGGCGTATTCCCAGCCACTTTCGTTGACTTCTTCGCCACATACTTCGCTTTCCGCGCAACCACCGCAGCAAAACCAGGCCCAACAACCATTCTCATTCTCATCTTTGTCCACTATATATCATCCAAGCCACAACGTTCCTCCGGCTCTCCTTAATCAGTACCACTCCTTACAGCAGCAACAATCGCCGCCTCAGCTTCATCTACAGCAACCGCAACAGGTTCAACAATCTCAGGGCACTCTTTCTCCCCAATCATTGCATTCTCCCTCGGCCTTTACAGTTGTTGCACCGAATTCGTTTTATGCACAACCGTCGCATCAGCAAAATGGACTCCCTTCGATACCCAATGCCGCGTCATCTACGACTGTTTCGTCTCTACAACCAGCTCATCCTCTACCAACCACTGCCGAACAACGTGCTCAGTTATATGCCGTAATCAAACCAATGCTTCAAGCAGCCAGTTTCACCGGGGCGGGAGCTGTGCAGACATTAGCACAACGAATCGACGATTTTGGTACTACTGAAATCGACGCTCAGCTTCGGATGGAGGTGCTGACTAAAATCAGAGATGGGGCTGGCAACCACTATTTTCGTGCGTGGGGCGAAAACGCCACGGCGTTAGAAATCACTAGAGAATGGTTGAAGCAGGCCTATGCAGCCAAGCAAGATAATCCGTTGTCAGAGACGACCATGCCTTTATTGCATGTGCGTAGTTTTACTCACCTTCCTAGGAAGCACAATTGATATTCCTTCCTTTCAGATCATTGATCGTTTACCGCTGACGGTCGACTCCCTCAAAACTTCGAAGCTTGGCAAACTCGTGGTCAAACTTGTAAAGGAACCTCCTACTCCTGGTGAGCTTAGCATTCACCATTCTTGCTCCACATATTCTACTAGCATAGAGAGTTGTATTGTTCTCGTGGTCAGTTCGAGAATGAGAGTGCAAGCGAATGCTTTTCCCCTTCCTCTTTCTAATGTTGATATTACATTATACCCCCGTTTAATGAGGAAAAAACATTCGAAGCAAATAGTAATATAATACATCTAACAACTGGTCCTTTCCGTTTTTTCTATGAATCCTACAAACGATATTATCAATGCGCAGCGATCAAGGATATGGCATCGAACATCGAACGACGATGGCGCCAGCTCGTTGACGGGGCATCGTCCAAAGCAACAGAGGGTGGGTCATGTCATTCCACTGTACCAACGTAGATGACTGATTTGCCTGAAAACACATACATTCTAGATATCAAACCAAAAAAACGAAAACTAGAGGCCCCGATCAAAGCTCCGCCACTATCCAAGAAACCCGCTGTGGGTTCTGCGACGTCCACGAAGCCCATAGCAGTCAAGAAAGAGGCCTCCTCGCTATTAACCAAAACACCGCCTACAAAAGATGCCAAATCTGATTCGTCGTTTTTCTCTGCTCCCAAAGCGAAACCAAAGCTGCCGAGTTTCAAGAAGGCGCCACTGCCCCTGCCCGGTAACTCAGGAACGGGAAAGAAGGGGGTCAATAACAACGTAGCGCAACCGTCGTCGATTGACCCCTTCCAAGAGGTTCTCAAGTCAATGTCGAAAGGGCGCAAAGGGTCCCCTGTAATTGGCGCACCTTCTTCTGCTACTCCACCTCCGGGTTCGTCGAACACACCCCCCAGTGTAGCGGGAACACCGAACATTGCCGGAAACTCTGGGTTGACTAAGCTTGGAAGGAAAAAGAAATCTGTGACGTGGGCTCCGGATCATAGCCTCGAGGCGATCAAGTTTATTGAGCCGGCTGTTTATGACGATGAGCCTGTCGACGTCAGTACCTGTTTTCCTCTGTTTCTTGAGACCGTATTAACTCGGCATCTTCTCTTTGCGTTGTCGTTGTCTAATGATTGTTTGTCATTTTCTATGTTTGTCTTCGTATTACAGGGTATGCATTTGAACCTGCGCGATCTGGATCGCGGTGAAGGTGCTGCTTTACATGCACATTTGTTCGAGGAAACTGTAGATTGGTATGAGCCTCTTCGTAAGCAATTTAAATCCCGACATTCAAATGTGCGAGACTGAAATGATGCATGCCATCCTATTCTCTAACAGCAATCGAGATACCAATCGACATCGATTATCCAGCACGAGGCGAGCAAAGCGAGGAGAAGACGGTGCAGGATCAACGAGAGCAGACTGCTTTAAGTGCGCTCTACATGACTGAAGCCCAAATTCCTGATACGCCATCCGAAGCAACCAATACACTACCGGAGGACGAAATTGACAAGGATGTGATAACGATGATATCTGGACCGGAAGCTGACTCTGTCTTTTGGAGTAGCGAGGCCTCAGCCGCTCCTCCAGCACTTTTTGGCGGCGCCGTAGCAGATATTTTGTCTCAGCTCTCCACTGGAAATTTCTCGCTAATGAATGGTGCGAATAGCAGCGGAGGCGCCGGCGAGATTAACGGCGGTATGCCGATGGGTCACAGTCACGATATGATGAACTTGAGTAATGTAGACCCCTTGTCTGTGCAGTCTCTTCCTCCAGAGCAGCTACAAGTTTTGCTTCAACAATTAAATCCTGCGTTTGGAAATGATCAGTCGTGGCAGAATCCTGCCTCTGCCAATCATTACTCGCAATACGGCTACAGTGATGATAACAGCAACGAGCCTTCTCCACGATGGGTAGAAGGTCGGGGAAGGGGAAGAGGCAGAGGCAGAGGCAGGGGAGGTAGAGGAGAAGATGGCTTTAGAAATAGTAAAAGAAAACCATGCAGTTTCTTTCAATCCGGAAGGCGAGCGAAGCTTAAAGTTGTTCTGATGATCCGGAGTAACTAATGAACCTCCGTGATATAGATGCAAGTACGGCGATCAGTGTGACTTTGCACATGAGATGATCTCATAAGGTAACTCAGTCTGGAGAAGAGGCGGCTTTTGAATTGAGTAGGGACTGTTACATATCCGCATTTGCACGCATAAATCATTTCACTATTACTCGCATCAGTACTATATTCTATGTACCTCATCCAAATTTCATGTTCACGACATGCTTATCGACACGATTGGACGCCATATGTTTCATTTCACGTTGCAGTTGAACCACCGTCCAAAGTAATCGAAACCTATTCTAGTTTAAACTTAAATAAGTCTAAAAATATAATTCAGCTCAAATTCAGATAGCCTCTACCGACAACTGCAACGACCCAGCCCAATGCCTCAATACGCCCAAACCAACACCATTCTTATCCCACACCTTCGGTTCCCTCGAAATGATTGTAGAATGAGTATTTCGCAAACCGGTGATGAGCGCCCTTTCCTTTTGAAGATGTGGAATAGAATTCAATCGGGCACAAATTGTTTTCTGAAGGGGAGAAAGAATAGGATGTGCTGAGTGATGTACCTGCGGTACAGCAAGCACAGACGATGGATCCGATTCGTTGATCAGATCTGCCACTGCGCCTTCAACCTCTTTCTCGAAGTTAACTAACGCTTGAGCTAAAGTTTGTTGCCCAGACTTGTATTCTTTTTCCAGAAGCGATATTCGAGCTTTTGAAGACCGTGAAGCGAGGGATAGGCGTACGAGGGCAAGTGTGAGTATCATCGGTATGAGAATTGGAATAGACGCGTATACAAGGATGTTTACTGGAAAACGGAAATTAAGGAAGGGAGGTAAAATGGGCGTCTTCTGAATGATAGGTTTGTGGTCCGGGTTATCTGTGGAGACAGATAAGGTGGAGTGGGACCGGAGCCATAATGGAGCGTGCAACTTTGACCGAGATTTGGGTGGAAGAGAGGATGGAAGTGTGTACGAAGAGAGTATGGGATGATGTCCCGAACGATATTCACTTCAGAATAAAGATCAGTTATAGTAGGAAAGACCTTGAGGGAAATGACCCTTACATCTGTAGTCCATTTGTTTCATACTCTGCAAATGGGTCTTCCGTCTCAATCGCCGCGGTAACGTATGGCACCGTTAGATCATTGAGTGCGTTTGCATAAATCCTCACATGTTTGAACTGGGCCATGGATTGAAAGAAAATCAGATTCGGGTCTGACATAACATCCAACAAGGGCCTCCCGCTCTTCCCCCATTTGTCGACACAGTAAAACTGTTCCCCAGTTCTACTAAGAAGCTTGGGACCGAGTGTGCGCGAGATGGCAGAGAAGAAAGAATTATATTTGACTAATCCGAAGTGGGGTGTAGCAATGGTGTTGAAGTTGACTGGAACAATAACGTCGGGAGAATCAGGGGAGAATAATCCACGTTGGGTTAGAATGCCAACGACGTAACGGGATACTAACCCCCCGAGACTGTATCCGGTGATGCTGAATCGACGGACATGTTTCCCTTGTGAACGGAGATGAGCGATTTCTTGGACAATCTCCTGCGCAACTCTCTCGCCACCCCAGTCAATTCCATCATACGTCGAGTCCTCCTTGTTCGTTTCTGCCAAAAGCACATGAAGCTCAGGTTGCACCTCCTTAACTATTCGCTCCATTTCGGCAAGATGACCTGGGTTTCCCCACATGCCATGTACGAGGACAAGAAGATGCACAGAATCAGAGGATGGGGATGGTGAATTGCTGCTTGTGCTAGAGGACATGGTGGTTAGGAACAAGCTAGGACAACACCATTAAGTACGTAGCTGGAAGTAAATGCGTCAGCTCTTCCAATGCTGACAATGTTCTATTGACAAAGACATAGAGATCTTGCCGCAGATAATACATAATAGTGCCCGGTATTGCCCCGCTATCATTCCGTTCAACAACGTCGCGAACCTCATTTCTACTGTCCATTCGTTCATCAGATTATAAGTCACTTGCAGGCAAAACTTATTAAGAATGAAGTTTGAGGTCACTCTGATAAGTACATCGCGCTAAATCTCTATCCCGGTATGGTAAAATATTATCAACGCACTTTTGAAACAGGGTAGTTTCAACTCCTGCACTGCATCATATAGTGTTCTAAGCTTGTACTCATATCCAGCTCATATCTCATATTGGAGCTGAAACTTTGCGGCTGGCATGGCTGAGTCCGTTCGAGGTTTTCTTTAAGGATAGTAACTTCAAATCCTTCTTATGAATTTGGGAGATCCATTGCACAATGCAGTTGAAAAGTTTGAACAAAAGACCGCCGTAGTCGGAAGCGGAAGATCTTGAATTTCGGTGATATGCATGTGGAGGTATGTGGTGTTGTTCGTAGGGGGAACTTATGAGAGCTGATGGAGGTATGTACATTTGGCTGGTTGTGTGACGAAAAACGCCGAAGTCATGATCAGGAGAGAAAAAGGTCGGACGAAAGGAGCCTGATTGAGTGATACGTTCGGAAGGTCGCCGAAGCGATGCGCCCTGATACCGTGATGTGCCTGTCAACCGATACGACAAGATTGTATTGCCAGAACCCTTTGACTCCTTCTGCAGCACTCCACTGCCTGCTATAGTACAGGTTTGCAGTCTCTCACGACTAGAGAGTCTGCCCAGAGAAGGCCAGGGAATCAATGCAAACCTTGGCCAATGATTCGACTTTCGAGACTCGGACTTTGGCAGACAATTCAAATTTTTGCACCCTCCCATCATTTGCGCGAAGCCGGGTGATGGCGGAGACCATGCATTTCAAAAATAGCCGATCTCCATGAAGAGGGATTTGTTTTTGTTTCATCAAGAAAGCGGTGAATAATTGATTGCAGGGAAAGTATATAATTCTGGATTCGACATGTTGGCACCCCAGCTGTGCTCTCCCTCACACATACGCAGGTTACTGGTTGACCTGTCGTCCTTTGGCATCCCCAACGAGAATAAGAGTTTGTCCCTTCTCTAGCTCTCAGCCTTCTTTGACAATGTTATTCAACGAATTGTCCACTTCCACTCAAATTCTCGTCGGGCTCGTCTTTCTACGCGGTGTCGCACTGACCGGTGCCGCCCCATTGAGGTGACTTCAATTTTTTTTTCCTTTCATGATACTTTTCTGAGCTTTACCTTGCCAGATGGCCCGCAGATAAGGGTATCATTTCTCGGTGAGTCTTCCTCTGCCTAGCGCAAATGGACGAAAAACTCAGCATTTCTTCCGATCGTCTTTACAGAGAAACCAAGCGCCAGGATGCGTCTGGGGACTCCGAAATTATGAGCGAGTTGCCTTCGGATGACACTCTCACTACGATCATAAGCGACCTTGGTAAGTTTTGACTACCTGTGATGAATTTGACTTGAATATTCATCTCGTTCGTTTCAGCGGGTCTCGCTACTCCTACTGACTCCTCGATTGGTAACCTCGGTGATCTCGTCATTCCCACTTCAATAAGTGGCTCTTCCACTGGTTCGTACTTTCTACCTTTAATGGAATCGTAATGCTCAACTTGCGTCTGCTTCACAGACTCGGGTATCGTCATCAATATCCCTTCCTCCTCGAACGCTAAAATCACCATTGAGACAAACGGTGGTGGATGCGGATGTGGTGACGATGGGGACGAGGAATATTACGACGACGAGGATGACGAGGACGAGGATTACGATGACGGCGAAGACGAAGGTGAAGATGATGAAATCACTCAGGACTCGGGCTATGGTTCTTCAGATGACCTTGCCGCCGCCCTTGGTTCTGCTCTCGCAACTGACAGTGGGGACTCGTCCAACGCTCTTACAGGTTCAGCCATTTGGTCAAGGAAGGCGTTGAAGAATGCTGTTCGCTCAAGTGGGGCATCATCAAGTAGCTCGGCTAGCTCCGACGGTGCTTCTGCTAGCTCTAATGCAACGGCTTCTGACAGTTCCGCAGGTGCATCTGCTACTGGATCTGCCGACGGCGCATCTTCTACAAGCGCCTCTACTACCGGCGCTGATTCGTCCTCATCAACTGACACCTCGTCTGCTTCCAGTGCTAGCTCTTCCGCTGTTTCCGGCTCAGCGGCTGACTCAGGATCCTCTTCGACCACTGGTGCAGCGACCGATTCCGGGTCCGCGACATCTACCGCTGGAAATGCAACTGACTCCGGGTCTGCATCGACCTCGACATCCGGCTCGTCTTCAACTGACTCGGGATCCTCTTCGACTACCGGTTCCGCAACTGATTCCGGTTCCGCTGCGACTACTTCTGGATCTGCCTCGACTTCCGGATCTGCCTCGACGTCTGGCACATCAACTGTAGAAACATGTAATACCGCATGGCAGAAATGCAACACTGATTGGCAGGGTGCGGGCTCAAACACTGGCAGCTACACTTGTCAAAAAGATTATCAGTCATGTATACAAGGATCAAGTGCAGGGTCCAGCAGTTCTTCTGGAACTACCAGTACATCCAGTGGTTCATCTTCCTCGGGCAGCGCTGATACCTCTAGCACTTCGTCCACTTCAGGAAGTGCCGATTCAGGAAGTGCTGCCTCATCCAGCGGAGTAGGGTCCACAGACTCCTCCAGCTCTACTGCCACTGCTGCTGCGTCAGCCTCGGCCACTGCGGACGCTGACTCTTCCACTTCACAAGACGGTGACTCGAACACTGGCTCTTCAGCAGCTGCATCTTCAACAGCAACGGATGCTTCCTCGCCCACGAGCAGCTCGACTGGCACTTCCTCAGCAGATACAGGTAGCTCAACTGGCACTTCCTCAGCAGATACAGGTAGCTCAAGTGGTACTTCTTCAGCCGATGCAGGGAGCTCGACTGGTACTTCCACAGCCGACTCTAGCTCCGCTTCTTCGTCAACAGCTGCTGATTCTTCATCTGCATCCTCTACTGCAGCAGCCGATTCTGGAAGTACAGGAACTGAGTCGTCAGCTGCCGCCAGTGCTACTGCTTCTTCAGATTCTTCCTCCGCTACTGCTAGAGGAATAGATGGCTCTAACTCAACCAGTTCCGCCACGGACTGTGGCTGCTCAGATTCTTCGAATTCAACTGCTACTGCATCAGGGACTGATTCCGCATCCTCGTCCGCCGCTTCGGGAGCCGACTCATCTAGCACCGACTCTGGTTCAGCAGCGAGTGCCACCAGTACAGCGGATGCATCTTCCTCTTCCAGTACCACAAGCTCATCTGGCACCGATTCGTCTAGTGGTGCAAATTCAACTGCCACCGCTTCCACCGATTCACCCTCTACACCCACTGCTACAGGTGCTGCAGCATCCGACTCTGGTTCATCAGCGAGTGCGAGTGGATCAACAGATACCTCTTCGAGTAGCGCAGGGGCTACCACAAACTCAACTGGTACCGACTCTTCCAGTGGTGCAAATCCATCTGCAGCTGCTTCTACAGATTCTGTCTCTACATCTACCGCCACAGGTGCAGCAGCATCCGACTCCAGTTCCGCAGCGGGTGCCACTACCTCAGCTACTGGTTCAACTGGCACCGATTCTTCCAGTGGTGCAAGTTCGTCTGCTGCTGCCTCCACTGATTCTGCCTCTACATCTACTGCCACTGGTGCAGCAGCATCCGACTCTGGTTCATCAGCGAGTGCCAGTGGATCAGCTGACGCCTCTTCTTCTACCACTTCTGCAACAGGATCCACAGGATCTTCCGGCACCGACTCATCCAGTGGCGCCGCGAATACCACCGACTCTTCATCTGCGTCCACTGCAACAGGGGCAGCAGGCTCTGGTACAGATTCGTCTAGCAGCTCGAATAGCACAGGAACTGCGACGGGTACCAGCGCTTCTGGCTCAGCGGATGCTTCTTCTACAGGATCACCCAGTGCCGACTCGTCCAGTGGCGCAACAAGTGCTACCAGTTCCGCTTCGACCTCGACTGCCACTGGTGCTAGTGCCGATTCGGGCTCTGGCAGTGCTACCTCGAGTGGTACAGGCTCATCTTGCTCAGGCTCATCTAGCAGCTCTGCGGACGCCGCGAGCTCTACTGGATCGGCAGCGTCTTCTACTTCCGCAGGATCTTCGAGCACCGGTACAGACTCAAGCTCGAGCTCGACAGGCTCTGGCTGTCCTTGCGCAGATGGATCGGCAGCGAACTCCACGTCAAGTGCAGACTCCAGCTCAGGTTCAACGGACTCCTCTAGTGCTACTACCGGTGCAAACGCAGGCGCAAGTGCTTCCGCTGGCGCCAGCGCTGACTCTGGATCCCCTTCAGGCACTACAACTTCGTCATCTAGTTCTTCATCCTCTTCTAGCAGCTCCTCATCTTCCTCCTCTTCCAGTAGCTCTTCTACCTCGAGCGGGACCTCGAAACGAAGCGTTAAAGGTCGCAGGAGCTCGGTCATGAAGGAAATGAGCTTTGCTTAATGTCTGTATCTAGCAGCGGGATAATGTATCTCGTTAAACATTCTATAGGTCGACATTGTGAAAAGTACATACTACACTCAATCAACAATCGTTTTCTTTCTCTTGCTGTGTACATACGATTTGTTGCAATCAGAAATGTTTGTAAATTAGGCAAGTGATTACTGCCATTTGCATAATTCTGTGAAAATGAGAAGATTTTTTTTTCGGTCTTGCTCAATGTGCTGACTCTTCCACAAATGTGACGATGCAACAACTCACGAACGCTTTTGTATCATATAACATCCACCTTCTATTGCTTTTTGCAGCTTGTGCAAGACCTTAAGAGTGAATGCTTATCATAAGGAGACAGCGAGTGCACTGTCGCTACTATGTAGTAGTACGATATCTGCCTATTGGTCAACTGGTAGACTGGAGATCTCGGTCGAAGTCGCTTTCCGTAGAAAATAATCTCCCCATTTTCACGGAATTACAATAGAATACAATTTTCTTTTGCCTGCTCACCCACATTCATGATCATTACAGTGTTGTCTTCTGAATCCAATCCAATACAACCTGTTCGGCAATTTCCAATCCATTCTTCTCCATGAACATCATATGAGCGTTCCCTTTGATACCCACACTTGCTAGCTCTACATGTGTCACCGGTACACCCGCCTGTGCGAGGAAACCCACGGTACAAGCATCATATATTGCATGATAACTCGACTCCGAAGTCACTACCAACGTCGGTATCTCTTTCAAGTTGACCATTTGCCTTGCTGGGGCGGCTTGGTGATAACATGTTGTACCCAACGAAGCATTTGAAAGAGATGGAACAATCTCGGTTTTGAGATCAGATGCAAAGAAAATTGGTGGTGAATAGGTTACAGGAATCTCGGTTAGGCCAAAAGGACGGGCAGGGGTAAGCGGAGGGAAAACAGCGTTGATGAAAGGAGGTCCGATAGGTTCAAGAGCAATGATAGTCTTGATGAGGGATGGACGGGTGTCGCCTAGGATCCAGCCGTACTGACCAGATTGTGAATGGGTGAGGAGAACCACAGGCTGGAGATGAAATACATAAATCAGTTGTGTATCTTTGAAACGAGCGTAAAGAAGGCTACATACACCAATAAGGTCCAAAAGGTCACCTAAAGCCTTCCTTACCTTCACCGAGCTCTCTTCGTCCGAAATTAGACTAGGCATTGTAGAGGCGTAAAAATTATCAAAGATTGGGTCTCCTGCTGTTCCATTCCCTGGCCACTGGGTATGCAGGGCTGCTTGAGGCCATAAATGGAACTGTTTCACTGCAGTGAAATGGGACGAGATGTAGGTGGCGTCGAAATCGGATTGGTTCCCGTCGACACCCATTTGCCATGCGGACCGCCCGCGAGAGGGTTGATCAACAATGTAGACCTGGCAGAAGACAGATACATAATAGTAAGTTTGAGGGCTGATATAGGATCGATTGGTGAGACCTATAGGCAGAATTACTAACCTCGAAGCCTTGGCTCATAAAATAATCCGCCCAACCCGGTCTCCCATCAGGCGTGTTCAGAAAATTTGTTCCAGTCATTCCGTGTCCGTGAATCATTAATATTGGCAGTGATCGAGTGACGTTCACTGGGACGAGACGTTCCACGTATATTTGTCCGAAGGCTATCTCACTTCCGTTCTTAGTTCCCGGAGTGTTAACATACTGCTCGCCAATATAGAAATAGTTCCGGCGGTGAAGGGTGCCTTCAACTAGTTGGATTTGAGACGAAATACCTGTGGTCGTTAACTGTAGAAGGGTGAGAAGGAAACAAACACCCAGGAGAAAGATGATCATCTTTTGACGAAGTGATTAAGGCGAGTGGAACAATCTTATATACCCAGTATATACCCCATGATTACCTTCACCAGGGTCAAACTATGCACCCACAAATAATTGGCCTTCTCTGATTCGTTGGCATGATGGACTGGTGACAAGGTCATTGGATTTTCTGCACTGGCCAATCCTATATATCAGGTAATCGAAGACTTATATCGTAGAAGCAGAAATGGGGGTTCAATCCAATAACTTAAGGTATGTAAAATTTCGGAGACTGAATGATACATGGAAGTTCGTATTATTCACAGTGAAGTCCTCTGAAGGAGGGCTTCCCCAGCAGCTTTCGTACTGCCCTTCGATTCCTTGATGATGCGCGCAAATTCCCTAAACGAAGGTAGAGAAGCATCTCGCATGAGCAAAAAACCTATACTTTCGCTAGTGAGCACTTTGACTCCAGCATGGCGCATGGCGTCGAGCGCAATAGGTACTTCAAATGCATTGCATGAAGAAACCGCATCGGCAACAACATAGACTTCGCTGATTTTGTTTATCGAGGATTGACTCAAGAGCTCTAATGCTGTTTGAAGGATACAGATGTGTGACTGGGGATAAGGCGATGTGTCACTTCAAGTTTTGGATGATCGAGTTCTGCGTCTTACTTCGATGCCCATAAGGACTACGGTCCTAGTTCCCAGTTCCGAAACAAGGGCCTGGATTTCCGGGATGAACATTGAGAACAGGGTTTTATCGATAGTCTGTCGGTGAAGGATGCCGAGAGAAGCAAGATCAACTTGGGGATCAATTGGACCAAGCGCTGCAAAGATAGAGCTGTCTGTTCAGTCAATGTGAACAGTGAGCAGGAAGATACCACCTTTGGCATTCTGTGTCGTTACTATAACAGGATATTCAAAAAGCTATAACATTTTCATTACACGTTGAGATCGCAACGATGACACGATGGTATGAACCTTGGCAAACTTGAGCATTTTGTTGGTCGTCGCAACAACATGGTGGTATTCATGAATCGCAGTACCTAGACAATGCTTCTATGATGATCAGAATTTGTCGACAGAAAGCTGTTACTAACGAAATATGCTCTGGAGATCGCAGAGCAGGAAAAGTGTAGTACTAGCCATCGTTTATAACCTTGACAACGGTGCGACTCCGCAGGCGATTTATGATTGATCATCACGTGTGGTTGATTTCGTTCTGCTGGTTTCTTTTCCCCACCAACTGTGCAGCCAACGGTTCAGCGCTGAGTCGTCTACTAGCTTTCTGTGATCCTCTCGTTTTGCAACGTAGGATCAGTCCTCTCGTTTAACAACCACGCCTTGTCAGGTTATTTTCGTTCTTTCATCTCACTTTCGACCCGCCACAACCTAAAAAAGAAATCAAAAACATATAATGCAGACCATTGATAACGCAAAAGATGATATTGCCGCACAGCTCCGCGTAATGCATTTATCGTTGTGACTACCTGATACTATCTAATTTCCTTTTTCAAGTTCGAATCCTTCAAACTAGGCAAGCCCTTGCCAACATCTATGACCTTGAACCACCAACACAAACACTCTCGTTCCCACTCTCGCAATGGTTCAGTTTCATCTGTTGCTTCTTTACCTCTCACCGCTTCTAAATCCACGAACTCGTATGACTTTGCTGTTCTTCCAACGACCAACTCCATGCCCGTCCTTTCTTCCAAGCGGAATTCCCACCATCGGCGACGGTCCTCCGTTTCCACCCGCCACGAATCCGCTGATATCATGGGTCTTCCAGAACTACCTGCGTCTTCGTCCGAGGACAATGTCATCGAAAAGGACTATGTACGTCGCCGCGCGCTGTGGGCTCTCGAAGGGAAACAGAATGATGCTTCCTTCTCCAAGGTTGAAATCCCTGAACTATCGAGTTCCGAAGTTGAAAAGAAGATGTTTGACTTTTGTAAGTATCAAATGCAAGGGAAATTGTGTGGAACTTGGCTCATGTCTTTTTCTATGCAGCCTCTAAGTCGTTTTCGACTCCATCAAATTCCGGATATGGTAAACGGGAATCTTTCAAGCCCTCTTCATCGAAAGATCAGCTTCATACCTTAGTTGAAGAAGAAGAGGAGGAAGAGGATTGGGATTTTCAAAAATCGTCTCCTCGGAAACTTCCTGTCAGTGCAGTGTCACTAAGTAACGATGACAAGCTACCAACTACGCCCGTTACTCCCGACGATGCTTTTGCGAAGCAAACAGCCTCACGTCCCAGACCAGCCACTCTTACTTTACGACCTCTCTCACTCACTGCCGGCGGCTTACCTACACCATCTCTAACTCCCAGTGTTCGACCAGGTTTAAGGTCTTTGTCACTGGTACCTAACGATGAGCAAACTACGCGCAACTCGTTCAATGATGTTTCTCCGACTCCATATCTCCGCGCTCGTCCAGCGAATTTGCAAATTTCTACTTCACGTGGATCTGTGGATGAGACATCTTGTGCTATTCCCATCCGCCGTAGCAGTATCTCCTACAAGTCATCCGCCGCCGCCGCTGGCCTACCTACACCTGAGATGACTCCCACTTTTTCAGAGCGTCGATACAGCCATAACAGCTTAGGCAGCAACACTAGTGTTAGCGGTATAAGTAACGACGAGGATTTTCTCCAGTCAAATGCTTCCTACAGCCGCCATAGACCGCTAAGCGCAAGCGAACAACATTTTTTATTCAAATCCCACAATGCGCTGTTGTCTCGAATACAGGACTTAGAGAAAGCTCTGATCGTACGGCGCACGTCTGTGTCGTCTGTCCCAGGCTCGCGACCTCTTTCATCTTCCTTTTCAGTCACTGATTCTGAAGACATGTCCATCTCTTCAGAACCTAGTGACGAGATGCTTAGGCTTGTTGCTGATCTCAAAGCAGAACGGGATGAGCTGAAAAGGGATGTTGATGGTTGGAGAGTAAGGGTTGGAGACCTGGAAAAGCAGATTGGTCTCCTCGGCAAGCGAGTGGAAGGTGAACGCCGAGAGGCGTGGGTCGCGCGCTCTCGTACCAATCTCCTTGAAGCAGAGAAGAACACCTTTGAGAAAGAATACGGACAGGCCAAGGAAGAGATGGCAAGAATGGAGGAGGAGAAAAATAAGGAGATTGCTCAGTTAACGGCACAAGTCCGCACTCTTGAGGCAGACAAACAGCGTACCATACAGGACAATGCTCATTTGTCGGGGGAGTGCGAATATTGGAAGGTGGAAGCGGCGAGGTTCAGCAAAATGAGAAAGGATGAGATGCTGATTTCCACCGTACGATCCACTTATGATACCGAGCATGCTCCTAGCGCTTGGCGCCGGGGTCTGCACTACGACTCGGTTGATTCGTTGGAAAGTTCAACTGATGTGGACTTCGGGTCGTTTGATAGTGATCATGGCTTCGGATTTTCGCTCAAAGCTGTCGCTGAAGAGAATGAAGGGGACCTCGATGTTCATGGTTCGCAAATTCCTGAAGAGGACGTCGAGGCGGATTACTTATCGGACGAAGAAGACAACGGGTTAGCTGGATATGAAGATGAAGAAGAGGAAGATTTTACTTTTCAATCTTCTGGTTCTTCGTCATCATTTGGTTCTATCCATGAAATTTCCAAGCCTCGTTCGGCGACTCGTCTCCAGATGGACGTACTAATGCCATCCTCGCCTGCCATTCGCGCTTCGACCCTTTCTTCAGGATCCGGCAGTAATACACCCTCTACACTTACTCCTGGCTCTCGTTCACTGTCATCTTCTCCTGTGCCTTCTGTTGCGAGTAATATGGATGCGTTAAAATCCACTCGTGTGCAAGCTACTGTGGTTCCTGTGCACCGTTCAGTTGGGTCTTTATCCAAGACATGGACGTTCCCAAGAGCCCAAAGTGCTTCCACTTCTCACGACCCTAGAAATGATGTAGACAAGTTCTTCGATTGTCTTGAAGACTCTGAAACGGATTCCACTGGATCTCGGTCCCCAGTTTCTCCCTCGATATACACCTACGAGCACAATAAGGGATTGTTTGCCAAGGGCTTAGAGGCATTTGATGACAACGAGGCTATGCCGTTTGCCCTTCCTTCAAATATCATCAGCATGGTAGTGGAGGAGCAGGATTCTCCCCGATCTCTGCCCGTCGTTATCGAAGAAGAAGAGGTAGAAGACGACGACGAGCAAACCAGGGTTGACGACGACGACGACATGCTTGGTGATAATGCTGGAATTAAGATTACCTTAACTCCTGCAGCAGAGGATGACAACGACGAATACCTATCTTCTCATATCGAGGATTCTGATGAAGAAGAAACTGATGCAGATGAGGAGAACGATGAGATCGCGCAACAGGATCGTACCGTCAATGTTCATGACACGGAAACTCATCCCCGCTTCAAATCTACTCGAAAACCCGTACCTGTTTTTGAAGAGTTTGACGAAGGGAATGATGATGATGACGTCCCTTTTAACTTCGGGCAACCACTTCGTTCTTCTACACCTCCGCATACCTTAGCAATGACAACTCCTCCGCGTTCTAGCGTTCGGATCTCTTCTCCATCGCCATCATCCATTCCCCGCCCAACCTCGTCATTCAATACCTCTACTTCATCTCCAAATATTCTTGAATCATCACCAACAATCACTCTATCAAAACTACCTGTCCGTCCAACATCGTCGTTTGTCACTCCGCCAACTAAGCGCGGAGGAGCTATGTCCTCGTTCATACCACTGCCTATCACCTCTTCTTCCCCTAGCCCGATGCGCAAACAACCATCAGTTCGAGAGAAGCCTCTGGTCGCTAGCTTTATCCGGCAGCCGGTACGAAGACCTTTGATGGCCGCCAACAGCAGTACCAGTTCTACGTCGAGAGCTGGGCATAACGATTCAAACGGTTCGGCTATTCAATCCTCCTTCAACTTTGTCAATTCTAGCTGTACGTAGTACTGATTTCTTTTCTTTTGGTGCTTGTAGTTGGTGGAGCTGTAGTGACAAACGATCCTCCTCGTTTTTCTCTTAACAGGTCAGTTGCCGACTCGGATCACACCTTCTTCCACAGCCCAAGCTTTTCGTCCAGTCAATCGTATTCCGGTTCTTTCCAAACAGACATAGATGGCCTGAACGGCTTTGCCCCCATTTCTACTTTGGTCTCCACATCTACAGCCACAAATTTTGTTCAGCCTATCTCTACCGACGAACAAACACTCCAGTCTTCATTTTCTTCTCCCTCTTTATCATCCATCATGTCATCTCCAAAACTATCCTTCCAGGTCCTCGCCGGCTTCATTCCACGGCCGTGGAATGCACAAACTTCTGTATTGAATGTCGATCAGGATGATGCAATACAGAGAGGCGACTTATTCACAACACCAGCGGGCGCCAAGTTCAAATCATACGTTTCGAAGCAGAAGCAGTTGGAGCGATTAAGATTAAGGTTGCAGCACGAGAGTTCGCCTCCACAACATTTATCTAATGATGTGTGCCAAAAGTGCGATGGTGCCGTTGTCTATCTTTGAGGTGAGCTGTCTCAACAATGACCGTCGAACTTCTATATTGATTCTTCGTCCGATCAAAGCTTCTAATGGACACTTCACTGTATGTACATTGATAAGACATAGCACACTTTGGTGCGCGGTCCGCATACGATTATGATTCTTGAACATTGCTTGTACACTTGTAAATTCTTTACACCACTTTATGCTCTTCCTTTTTTCCTTACCCTCGCATCCTTTGAAGATTTTATCCCTCTCGTTCCATCGTCTACGTCAAGGTGACATATCTATCTTCGCCCTTTGTTCAATCTTCTTTTTACCTTGACCCCTTGTTCATGTTTGCCATATATTCTTATTGGTGAAGGCTTGACGCCTTTCCTTGTATTTCGGTGTACAAAATGCATTATTTGCTACCTATGTTTCCCCACCACTCATCTCTTTTCGACGAATATATGCCACCCTATGAGTCTCGCAGGTATCCTTCTGTAACCGGTGCTGATCTAGTTATGCTCGTTTGAATTCCGTTTGAATTCCGTTTAATACTCGACTCAAGCGGACTAGTAGAGATCATTTTCCTAGTTTGATCATAGGATTCAGGCAGAATGACTCTTTAATTTGACTGCCACATAGATAAATACTATTATAGGTAGTGCACCCCGCGGGCGAACAAGGGGGTTTCCATCCTCTTCTACGCAATAGTTTTGCAATCTCAAACCAAGGCCCTCTTTCCATGCCCTGCAGACCCTCGGTGCACTCAACTTGGCTTCGGGATACTCTTTCCCAGTCTCGCGCACTGGGCACCATCTCGGGGAGGCTGTTAACTAGAAGATGGTGAACACTGGGAACTCTGTGCTCGACTAGTGCGAAGCAGGGAGACAGAAACTTGAGATTCAAACCGTGAACCTATAATTCGGGTGTTACCAAATTAGGCAAAATTTTTCTCGCTTTGACCAACTCGAGCGTGTACTCAATATGGCTCTAGACGGCATAATAATCCTAGATCATTACGGGTGAGTAATTAGGATCGCTGCTTGACTTGCTTTGCTGAAACCAATTCAGACGTCCGATTATACAATCTGGATTTCGGTCCAGTACCACTGCATATTCAATATTGCATATCGACGCGGTGAACAACGCCTTACAAAAAGCTGAACGTTCAGCAGATGTTGATTCTGTCATATATGTGCCGCCTTTGAATACTGCCAACGGTTCGAGCGCGTGCTGCCACGTCGAAGTAGGAGATTTGAGATTCCTGTGTCCAGTCAGCGGTGACGGTGAGCATCGAACATTTTTACTGCAGATAAATATCTATTAACAACAATCAATAGTGGACCCGCTACTTGCGTTTGCCTTTCTACAAACTTTCATCGACATCCTGCGAGAATACTTGGGAACTGTGTCCGCTGCTACTCTGAGGGATAATTTCGATATTGTGTACCAGGTGCGTAAATCATTATCGCCTCCCTCCGCTTATTTCTGCTAACACGAACCTCCAAATAGCTGTTTGAAGAAACTCTGGATTCCGGAGGTCATCCCCTGACCACATACTCCAACGCTTTGCGTGACATTGTAATTCCACCTTCCTTGTTAAACAAGTTACTCAGTGTTACTGGCACAAACTTCAACTCTACTATCAACTCTGGATTTGGAGCAGGTGCTGCAGTAGGACCATTTTCCTCCCCACTACCTTGGCGGAAAACGGGTGTGCGATACAACAACAATGAAATCTACTTCGACATAATTGAACAGCTCAAGGCCATTGTAAACAAGTGTGAACTCTCTTCATAACTTACAGGGGCTCCGAGGATTCTGATCTCTTGTTAGAAACGGTACTGTTGTGTCAAGCCATGTCCATGGCAAGATTGAAGCTAACGCAAAACTTTCCGGTACGGATTATGCCCTCGTTCAATTTATTCATAGGTTCAAACTTTGTACAGGGACACCCGACTGCTCTCTGAATTTCACCAACCCTCAGGTGCTAGACGATTGCGCTCTGCATCCTTGTGTTCGGTATGTTATCTATACATGGTCATTTGGATTTTTGTTAACTTACACTTACAACAGTTTACATCGTTGGAACCGTGATAAGATGCTATCCTTTGTTCCTCCAGATGGCCGTTTCACACTTATGGATTACACATTCTCCTCGAATCCTCTTCCCTCTCCGTCGCCTACCCAACAGTCTCTGACATCTGTCATGTCATCAAGAAGTAACCTCACTATTCCTTTCATTATCAAAGCTATCGTCGAACTGGAAGATTCTGGCGGTTCGTTCGACGTTACACTTACCTCACGTTACTCGACCCATGCATTGGAGAACATAGTAGCAGATATTCATTTGGGACCAGGCGCAGGTGGCATACGTTGCAATGTGTCGCGCGGATCTGGAGGTGGCGGGTTTATAAATGCTGGTGGAAGTCGGAATTTGGATACTTCCGGAGCGTCAAGTGGTGCTTCATGGTCTTTTGATGCTCAAAGAACGGTACGCTGATCTTGTCCAATCTCCTTTGTACGCCATTGATGATATCCGTAGGTCCTACGTTGGGAGATACCGATTGTATCGCCGTCTAGCAGTTGGTCGTTGCATGGATCGTTTTCGACAGGGTGAGTCAAACCTATATTCATGCCCAATTAATTCATGTTCAAAGGATTTTACTAGAACTCGTGCTCCACGTCCCTCACATGCAATTCGCGTTCGCTTTGATATATCATCTCATACATACTCAGCATTGAAAGTTGGTCAACTCAAGGTAACGAATGCGAAGGAAAACTACAAGCCATACAAAGGTGTCAGGGGTCGATCTTCTGGTGAGGTCGAATGGAGGTGGTAGAATATAAGGGAATGAACGCGTTGTATCTATACAAGACTCATTTGTGCAATATAGGACTTTTTCCTTTTTCCAGCCATGGCCGCAAATACTTCAAGCCCGATAAAAATAATATCAGCACCCTGGAGGCTCAATTTTATCAGTTAAGCTCCGGATCGGTGTTGTGCACGGTGGTACAGGAAGGGCATCTCTTGTCCTCCCCTTCTGGGATTATCTTATTGTAACACCCTTCCGCGCCGGTCAACGAGTAATACTCCCGCCGTGAGGCAGGCCAACCGCAATTTGGCGCATCTATGGTGATTTCTGCACGCCAAATGTCCTTGGTGATATTCCAGAATGTCACAATACGCATGTCCTGGAATGTGATTCCTCCTGAACCGATTCGCCAAGCGGGTTCTTTGCAGGTGATTTGGTGTGTGGTACATAGCTAATGTGCTTCGTTCAAAGGTCTTGCAACGATCAGTATGTGCATAGGCTCACCTCTGCAAAGTTTCGATACTGACAGGCTATGAATCTCCCAAGTTCTTTCTTCGTCCATTGTATACTCTCACCGAGGTTATCATACAAAGGTAATGATACCAGCCAACGTTGATGCAAATATCCTGGCCACTGCAGGTAAAGTTTATATCAACTGTAACGAGGAGAATGATATGAAACTGACCACTAATTCAAATCTCATAGATCTCTGAAAACATTCCCTGAAGTCGAACGCCATCGCATCCGGATAAGCCAACCTCGACATTCCTTCTGCCAAATGTGCTAGCGGAATGCCCCATCGATATCGCTCCCCTTCCCATTCCCAAAACCCCACGGTGCTTCCCGGTCCGCGCGGGGGAGCTATTCCTCTGTGGTCAAGTGGAACGTCTTCGGCGAAAGCAACATGCAGTGGGAACGGCACAGTTCGCCCAGTGAGAGTTTGTTTTAGTACTTCATGTAGATACGCCAGCATCTGAGTTTTTTCATTTCCAGACAGCGTCGATTCCTCTTCATTCAAGCTATAGCGTGAAGAGTCTACAGAGGCGAGATCAGAGTCTTGTTCAGGTGAGTACCCAGCTGACACTTCGTCCATAGAGGACCTCTACAAAAATAAAACACATATGTCAAATGCAGTATGACCCAGAAGACGGTAATATTCGTACGGACCCTTAGCTCATGTTTCGCAACTCTGGTCCTTGTTCTCATATTATTCTTTTTGGGCATAGCTGGTGAGTACGAGAGTTTCAGTGAGTGTAGACAGCTTCCTCGTAGCCCCACGAAAGTTTTCTTATGCCCGGGTCAAAGCTTGGGCCACAATAGGCGGGGCCACTTCCTGCAGACATGGCCCATCAATTGTGGAAAGCTGTGTTCAGAGCCACTCTTATTTTCTATCTATCTATCTATTGAGTGGTTGGAGCTGAAGACAGGGGCCAGGATGAAAGGTTGGCTCGAGTTACTAACATATGATTATCGAGACATCTAAGTCTTGTACGGCGGTAATATAACCCGAATTTACGATAGATATACAGTAAACTATAGTGTCCTGGTTGCTTTCTCATCTTTTAACACTTCAGCGCCAACCGTCTAACAAAATATTCTCCGTAATTTCTAGGTCATTTGGATTCTTTAGCTACTCACCGTATAGCACGGTATACTATCCTGCTAATTGACCAATGATTTATCACTGGGATGTACAAAGGTATTGAAGCAAAGGATGAAGCTATAGTACTATGTGTCAACAAAGTGAATTCGCTGTCAGAAAGAAAAGATATGAACGGCGAGGTAGGGAAGGAGAAGGAGAAGGGAGAGAACAGGGGAAGATTGCAAAGGAGGAGGATCGATAGCTTCGCTGAGGCTTACATTATGTTAGCCTATACTGTAACTACTTTCGTTAAGCTCGTTTATCCCTCCTTCATGCGCAGAAAGCTTTGGAGGTGAATAAGTACTATTCCGAGTCACTCAGATGGAGCAGTGATGCTCACAATTCATCCCTCGTCTTCTTCCTCTTCTCCGACATCATTCTTCTTTGCCTCTTTGCTCATTTCCAGTTTCCCAACGGCATCTCTCCAGATCGTCAAATCAGCTCCAATTTCATTTATAGCTTTCTCCAAGGCTTCGTGTAGGACGCTGTAATACGAATTTCCACCATCCTGTGAGGCATTGATTGGCACTTCAATTGTACGAGAAGTAGGCAACTCGTCAGGAGAGACTGATTCGATAGGAGGATGGACGGTGTAGGTTATCGTGATTGCAGACATGAATCGGAAGTGTAATTATTGTCGGGCCGGAAACTGTAAACACAAAAACAAAAAAAAACTCTTCCCAGTACTATGTATGTATGTAACCCAAAAGTGAAGAAATTGCTAGTGGAATATCACCAAGCCCTATCTAGAGTCTACTTACTCCGGACGTTCTATCCGGAGAAGCCCAAGACCAATTCAAGAAACCAGCTTTACTGAAAGCTTCTAGGACCTCCGCCTCCTTCTGTCGTTCATCGGCACTCATCGGTTTTTCACGGACCTTTCTCCAAACCTGTACACATTTATGTACTTCTGCGGGCGTACTCACACCCACCACAAGCGGAACATCCAAATCTTCAGGTCCACATCGTCGAATCGAGTACGCCAGGGCAGCGTCAATAAATCCATCCCCACCGTACTCAGCTCGAGCTTTGGTAACAGCCTTTCTTAATCCTTCCGGTGCCGGATGCCAGTGCGGGATCGACGGAGTAAGCAAACCCATACTAAAAGGCGAAGCAGCGACCAATTGTTTGACCTTTGCGCGTTGCCGAAAATGAGGAACGAATTCGGCAAACGTCGAGTTTTGAAGAGAGATGTGAGAATAGGAAAGGAGGGCATCGATCGGCTCGTATGGTGGGTTATGGAAAATGAGAAGCGCGAGGCGGAGCAGAGTGGCTACAGGGTAACCTTGAAAACGAATGTCATGAAGATGGAGATACGGAATGAAGAACTAAACATACCAGTGATACCGATACTTCTTATCAAGCCCTCCTCTTTCATTTTCCTCAACTCCGCAAAAGCATCCAAAATTTTCTGATCACCTTCGCCATAAATAATTCCTTCTTGGCCTTCCTCTAATCCATACGCAGCCTTCTCCTCTGTCAGCGCTAACGCGTGATTACCTGTTTGCTTCGCTTGCACAGGAGTACACACGAACTCTACGTCGTGCAAATAGACTGTATCCAGGTATTCCGTTTGTAGCCGATGTAAACTTTGCAACACACTATTCCGAATCGCAGCGGGTGAATAGTCGAATGAGTTTGCACCGAAACGACCACATTTAGTCATCTTCAGAAAGAAGGCTGATAGTGAGTAGATCACATTTTGTTTTCGGAGAAACACGATATAGCATACTAATTGATATGATTCTCTTGGAAATTCGTCCTTTACCGAACGCAGAGCATTTCCAAGAACAATTTCCGAAGGCCCATAATAGATTGACGTGTCGAAGGCCTTGATACCATAGCTGTATCGTCAATTTGGGCATGGCTTCCTTCATCTTTGAGTATTTTGTCTACTTACCGTAACGCGAGGCGGACCAAACGCATAGGCGCAAAACCGGACAGATGGTCATTACTGTTATACTGATTGCTCAGAGTCCCAGCACCGAGGATCAAACTAGGAAGACAGAAGGCGTTTTCGAGCAGTGCCTAGACGCGATAATTAGCTGTTGGTATACCAGATCAAGAATGATCATACTACGGGAGCTCCTGGTAATGCCTTGTCTTCTTCCTCGTCCGGAGCAGCTTCACTAGGGACGATCAAGCTCAGCGGCGCAGGTGTAACCATGTCGGTAAAATACGATGGGTATTGAGCTCCTCGAGCTGGTTCAGATGGTCAACGAGCAACGCGGAAAAACATTGAAGGTTTCAATGACTATATCGCTTCACCATATCGCTTCATCGATCGCAATTATGCGGACCTTCCACGGACCGACAGGAAACCGGGAGGCAATATGGATAAAGAAGACTCATATGTAGATAGTACAAATACAGTATTATTGGTATGAGTTACAGGATGCCACCGCTTTATATTGTAGACATCGAAAAGATACAAGATCCGAAAATGTAACGGAGTATTTGCTGGGTTTGTTGGCTATAGTCTATAGCTTTTCTCTTACCCATCTAATTAAAGAGAATATCAACACAATTTGAACGGAGAACGCAAACGCATTACGCACCGTTGGTCGAACTTTGACTGTACCTGTAGGAGCTTAGTGCCTTGATGTGGCCTGATATCGTTCCAGGGAGTAGGATTCGTTTTCGTCCATTGGACTGTAACACAGAACACAAATGTTATAGTTAGCGACATCTTCACACAACGGCTTAGAGAAACTTCACTTGTAGGACCCATGGCAGAACGAGCCATGAACCATGTTCCGCCCGAGACAACAGTAGCAACAATGCACCAACTTCAGACAATGTCAGGTCAGTATCTGGACGTACAGTCAAAGATCCTTATTATACATTGGGATTGCCTGTTGACAATCATCAGCTTGGCCCAGCGACGGAGGAATAAGTCCTACCTCGACAGCGAACCAGTTCTTCATGAAGTTTCTGCGGAAGTTGATCGACATTGTATGATATTGGGGATTGAAATGAATCAATTTGAGTTGGGGGCAGGTGAAGTTTGAGTTGGGTGAGTTGAGTTGGGTGTAAAAGGCGGGTTGTCAACTCGTCAGAGGCAGTTCAATAAATACTGAAGCGCACCCCACTGCCCATTCCGGGCCCATCCACAGCGGAGTGTCGCTAGAGTGCGACCCGGGAAGCTATCAGTCACGTCTAGCCCTTTGAAAAACTATGTATCGATCAAAATGAATAGACGGATGGGACGAACCAGAATGTGCTAGACTTGGATCGGCAACGACTTATCGATCAAGGAGCAACATCAAAACAGCATAAGTATGGGACTAACGACAAACGGAGGGTAGAGGGCCAGACCGCCAATCGCGCCGTGTGCGCGCCATGTCTGGAATTGTCTGATGAAAAAAGTCCGCTAGATAAGGATACGATATAATATCTCAGCCTTTTTCAGATTCATCTTCAATCACTGTGTGCAAATATCTGGCGCAGACCCACAGAGTTGTAAGGTTCACATTACCATTATATCTATCCTTTTGCCTCTGATGACCGTCAGCCGGTGAGCACCACGCCGGTCAACCACCCGCCAGGCAGTGGCAGTCGTACTTGCGCCAACTCGTAACACGAAATAGAACTTTGATTCTCGGGGTGATACGATATAAACAAAATCCTGGAAAGAATTATCGAGTACCATCCCTCTATAGTTTGTCTCTCGACCACCTAGGACCAAGGTGTAAGGAAGCGATGGGCTCCGAATCAGGATCGGTTACTCACTTTTCAGCATCATGGTTAACGGTCATGATCTTGGTGCTCTGATTAGGTTTAATGGAGTTCCATGGGGTCGGGTTAGATTTTGTCCATTGGACTGTAAACGATGGAGGGAGTAAAAGCGTCAGTGGCTTATTTATGACTGGAAGAGAATTAAGGAATTCACTAGTAGGACCCATAGCCAAGCGATACAAATACCAGCTTGCACCAAGAACGACCCCACCGACAATTGTGTAGCTGGTGCAAGAACCAGAAATTAGCGTGCACATATGTAGCTATAGCCAAAATGTTTTACATTGGGACGGCCTAAATTGAAGGTTAGTTCAACTTGAAGATTAGAAAAGAGTCTTATTCACCTCAACAGCAAACCAGTTCTTCATAAAGCCTTTGCGGATCGCCATTGTATGATATTTAGGTAGCGAACGGGGCAGTGGTAGAGGGAAATTCAAGCAGTGAGGCGTGGGAGCTTCGATTCCGGATCCACACGTACTCTTCAGTTGAGCAGCGGTTGAAACCGGGCTTCATCTCGTCTCCCATCATCGAACATATCCGAAATGGTGACATTGTGGATCGTGCCGTCCGATGAGGATTCTGCGAAACTAAGAATAATCATGTCTATGCAATCAAGCACTTGCAAAACTCGGTCTTATCCTAAATTTCATCCGCATATCACTCTCGCTGCTCCGCCTTCTTCCTCTCACTTAACCCTTGAACAACTCCGAGAGTCAATATCACACCATCTTCCGTGTAAGATACGAATTGACTTCAAATCAGTCAACACAGGAAACCACTTTTTCCGCTCTGTCTACATAGCTGTACAACCTTCTCCTGACCTTGTCTCTCTCCATAAATGCATTCACACCACTCTGGATCTGGAACCTCGAACACCCTTGTTTCCTCATCTATCATTGTGTTACATTGCTGATGAGGATGACGCGGCAGGAAAAGAAAGACAAGAATGGAGAAATCAGCTGGAGACTTCTGGTAGGATTCGCACCATTGGTCCAGCCGGGGTTAGTATAGAGGTCAATTGCAGCAAAGATGGAGCGGGCAATGATTGGATTTCTGGGTTCGATGCGTACGAAATCTGGTTCGTCGACTGTAATGGACCTGTAGAATCATGGGCGGTCTTGCATAAACTTCGTCTCATGCCTAACCCTTAGTTGGCTGCTTTCAATGGATACCATGGCACACTATGTATATCCTCATTGTACTTTAAATTGGTGTCACGATAGGAACATCAAAAAATGGGGCGAAAGTTAGGCTTGTATTATTCAAGACCATATTTTCCTGTAGGACATGCGGCCACCTTCGAATGATCTGGCTCTACATTAGATTTTGCCGATGAACAAGTTGCGAAGTATTTCGCGACCGGTCACTCTAATTGTATGATATAGAGTGGGTATATCCAATGTCGATGTGAGGGTATCAGCGAAGCCAAATGGGAGCATAAGAGGAATCCAGCCTATTAGAGTTATACGATAGGCCCAGAAATTAGAACGAACGATGAAGCCAGGAATGAAGAGGCTGACCGCGCGCGTATTCCAGTGCAAAGCATCCTTTATGCATCTTATACTGTTTTGCGGTTCCTCTTGGAAGGTGATGAACACTTCCTGCAGGGTATCGTTCCATTTCTAATTGACCTGGACTGAATGCCCATTGCTCTCCGACAAGAATATTGAAGTAATCATCGGCCGTATGCAAACCAGTATGTCCTTCTGTACCCAAAGGAGTTCCAAAGATGATGAGATATTCGGTGATGCTGGCATGGATGATGTACATTGCGCCCATTGCACCGCCAGCATTATTGAACACCCATTCACTAGACTTTGTGTTCAGAGCAATCGTAGAGGATGGATATGTGGCGGTGAGGTTCGAGACAATGTGCTCAATCATTCCAGCAGTATCATCAGGCGAGGAGGCAATAGCTGCCTGGGCTAATTCGTGCAGACTGGAGGGGTCCAAGACATACCAACGGTGCTGCGATACAATTCCAGCAAGAGTTGAGCAGAAGAGAGATTTGACACTCACCTTAATAGCATCCAGCAGTAGGCACATCGAGACCAACACCAAGCCCAAAGCGAGACGCGAAACCCATTTTGTCATTGAATCTTGTAGAGGGAATGCCGCTTTGTTTTTGAAATCGTCTTCCTTTCTTAAACCGGAAGCCATGAAGGACAAAGCCTGGTTTCGAGCGAATAATTTAAATCAAGATTTAAAGACGACCCACAAATTATTAAAATTAACGAACGATTTGAAGAAATCATGTGATGGTAAATAGACGCTAGACCGTAAACGCTATGCTATACTCAGAGAAACACAACGCTCACAGAGAGGGATGTAAACCTATGTTAAATATTATAAAGCGCAGAGAGTTCCAGATATGAATACAAGTGGCACCAATAATTATCAACATGGAGGATATATGGGTGTCTGTGACTGAGGAATAAGTCCCCGCGTTTTCGTGACTTCCCAGATATCCCAACAGCTAGAGAATGAATGATGTGAAAGAATTCCTAGTGTTTTCAGAGAAGGGACAGCATGCGCAAAAGTCGACACTATCTCTTTCTCTAGAAACGAATAGAACGTTCTGCTTCTTTCCGAATCATCATGACGCCAGTCAATATGTCTTGGACGTTCGGGAAAATCAAGGTTCATCATCAAGTGCTTCAGGTTCACCGCCCTTGCCAAAGTATTTGGCATGGATGTCTACATAAAAGTGGTCAGATATTACTTTACGAAAGATGAAAGCTGTAAACACTGACCAAAGGATCATTTTCCGAATTTTCTTTTGCCAGTGGTCGAAAGCGATGTATTTCTAACGTGGATAGTTTTGGGAAAGAGATGTGGATGCGGGAGAGTAGAGAGACGTCGGAAGCATCCACCCAGTAAGATAGTTCAAACGTCGATAAGTTGACTATCTGTACAGCGTTCAGGATATATAGGACTTCACTACCTGTCAGTACCCTGGAATGGACGTTCGACCATCGAGCGCCAATGATATCTGGAAGTGGGAACGCTTTCAAACTCAATGTCCGAAGATTAGCGTAAGTCAAGACCTGAAAGAACAAATTTTTGCCGAAGGGGTTAGATATAGTCAATGACTGCAGGTTGGACATCCCCCGCATGACAGGATCATCATGAGGAATGCTGCAGGTTGAAATAATAGGGGAGATCAACCTATCGGTGAAATATGCAGGCGTTTGGATATGAACGTCTCGCAGCCGGGGGGCACGGTGAAACATCATACTCCAGTCAGTTGTATGCAGCGGTTCGTGTCCTCGAAATGTAAGCTCCGATAGTTTCGGGTATGGTAAATCAGCCAGATGTAAAGCAAGTTCGGCTGGAATTTCCAAAGCCTCCACTGAATCGCAAACTAGGGACACTATGACCGAGAGATTCGAAAGTTCTACTAATCCTTGCACTTTGTCGCGGCGTCCATATGATTCGGACTCACGAGGAAAACAGTCTGTGAACGGGACCCGATACACAAATTTTCGCAGTCGAAATGACTCCCGCGGAAGATCAAGCATCAGACGACTAAATTTTTCTTCTGGTCGTCTCCACGGTGAGTCCAATATCTCGCAGGTAGTCAAGGTTGGTGTGGTAAATATTGCTTTCAATAACGCTGGCCAAGGACCACATTCCGCAGAATTCATCAACCGGAATGTTTGTAACCTTGCCATATTGGAGAAGACAGCGACGAGTCGCTCGGATAAAACTGTTGGCTCATCTACAAGAATATCCCCAGTGGCGCTGACATCGAGCTCGAACACGCTAAAATCAAAACCCAGTGTGTTAGAAATCGAAGCAGGAGACATAAGTATCGTAATACCACGCACGTTACATGTTGACACAACGTCGAAGGCAAAATTTCTTTGTGTTTCCGAACACCCATGTCCCAAGTTCTCCGGAAGTTGCGAAAGATGATAGGAAGACAGATGCTTCGGAGGAAACGGGACGTAAGTGACAAAGAGCGCATATCTTTCAGAAATAGATCTTTTGAAATGGAAGCCCTGATTGTTTCCAGCACAAGGAAAATAACATCCTCGTTTAACTGTTGTATTCCTCGCATATTATTGTGTTCTTAGACGCGAGGGTGTATGGTGTTTGGAGAAATGCAAAAGCCTCATGGCGCGGATTATAAGCGATCCACGAAGCGCTACGGAAAAAACATTCATCAACAATAAACTTCACTGGGTCGTAAAACCGGTAAGCCGGCGACGACATCGGAATAGACCTTGAGAAAGCAGCGATGTGGTTACATGTAGTGCGGCCGAGCAAGCACCGCACCAGAAAAAATGGGATTGAATACTAATGATTGATTTGGATGATACATGTTAGCAGATAGTAGAAGAAAGTGAAGATTTGAGAATGAATGAACTCATGGCCAAGGTTATCTGCTGCCTGCCCTAATGATACCAGCATTTGCCAACTTCATGATCTTCGCCCTGACAGTTGGATTCTTCATGTGATCCTGGAGAGCTGAAGGATCACTTTGAGCTTGCTGCAGAATCTGCTGCATGACCGGATCGTTCATGATGTTCTGTGAAGAGCGATGATGCATGTGACTACCCAGAATAAACTAAGACATGAGCACACTACTCACTGCAACTTCGGGATCGCGCATAGCCCTCTCCAAGGTCTGTTCCTGAGTCTCTTCGCCTCGCTGCTCATATAGAGCCGTTTGTATTTTATACTCCAGTTGCTTCAGCTCAGTTGCGTTCTTGTTACCTTCGTCGTGAAGTTCTGCTTCCTGAACGGCCTCGAGTGCTTTGGCGTATTCACGCATTGAAAGGAGAACATTTGCTTTTCGAATATAGGCTTTGACTAGGTGAAAGGTGGGATGCGCAGTTAAAATTCAGTTCAATGGCACCTTCGAGAAGCAGATAACGTACCAAAAGAGGGATCAACTTCAATAGCCTTGTTGACATCCTTCAACGCCTCTGGGAACGCAACGAGTTTGATATAGGCAGCAGCACGGTTATTATACCCTCGCGGATCGACTGGGTCACGCTTTATGGCCTCCTCATAAGATTTGACTGCAGTAGCAAAGTCACCCGCCTTGAAATGGACATTGCCCTCTTCACGTGCGATCGCGCTTTTCTCTGGGTCGATGTAAGCCTTTCGTTCAGCGTCGGCTTTGATTTTCTCTGCCTCTCTTAGTTTGTTCAGAATGTCCGGGGTTCGATGTTCTGTAAGAGACTTTTCATAATATTTGATAGCAGATGGTAGGTCGCCCTTTCTTTGGTATGAAAATCCTACACGACCATACGCTTTCGCGATGAGCTTGTAGTCGGCACGTAACTTTAATGCAAATGAGATATGATATCCACCTGATGAAGGGCACAACTGGTGAGCTCACGGATCGGCCTTCCTCCACAGCCTTTTCACAAGTTTCGATAGCTTGATCAAAATTTCCTTGTTCAAAGTAAACAGCTAGAAGCTGATGAGAAAGTGAACCTGAGCAGACAGAAAGTATACTGACCTCCCAGGTTGGTCAGGAAGGTGATGTCCTTGGGCCAAACATCCCAAGCCTGCTGGAAGTACTTCGCGGCTTCCTCAAAGTTTCTCTTCTTGTAAGCTTCACTGCCAGACTTCTTCAGTGCTTCCGCTTCCTTTTTCGCTTTCGCCTCTTCATCATCAATTTCTTCCATCTCCACGTCCTCCGTCGGAGGTGCAGAAGGAGAAGGTTTTGGAGGCGGTGATGAAGCAGGGGCAGACGGCGACGGAGATGTATTGTCATTGGTGGGTATTTCGGATGAACCTTCTGGTCGAGAGAATCCTTGCATATCGATACCCATCAAAGCACCAAGTACATCGATCATTCTTGGGTCATTCATATCGAGCATTTGAGGATTTTTCTGGTAAAATTGTAACTGCAAAGGCACGAGTCAGGATATAATTTGAAGATATGACAGTTCCCCCACTTTTTGCACAAAGTTTGGGTCGGACAAGTGCTTAGAAGTCCGAGGATTGGTTGCGAGCTTGCCAATGAGATTTGGGTCCGCAAACATGCTAGCAAATGGATTGTCTTCTTTCTGTCCTCTTGTATCGTACGCTAAAGGAAAGATTAGCATTACAGATAGATATAAATAACCTTGGCTAAACACACCTTGCGCGTCCTTAACTTCTTGTAAACCCTTTCTGAGCGGTGCGCTATCTTCGATCTTCAAACCAGCATCATACGCAGCGATCGCCTCGTCGTAAGACTTAGATCCATGCAGAGCAGCGCCCTTGCGAGCGTATCCTTTTGACCAAGTAGGATTGAGTTCGATACACTAAAATCACCAGAGTGAGTTGTAAATTTTTTCGAAAACTTGTGAACAGCTCCCACGTACTTTTTCCGCGTCCTTTAGGGCTGCGGCCCATTCTTTTTTCCCAGAGTATGCAGCGCTTCTGTTTGAGTACAAAACATGATTGCTGCCATCGATGGCGATTGCTTGAGAGAAAAGATTGATAGCCTTGTCCCAATCTTTGGCAGCAAAAGCCTTGTTGCCTTGGTCTTTAAGAGCATTCGCCTGCGAGAATTGGATAGTATTTCAGTCGGGATATAGCTGGGGAAATGATTGAAGAGAAGATACATACGTCGGCCATTACAGAGGATTCTTTTGAAAGGAACTCACACCAGACTTACAAACACTGGCTAAAGTAGCCTCGGCCTTCCACTTCCGAAAGTTTCCAGAAAGTTCCATTCTTGCCTACTACCACCGTCACCACACAACATTCAATGAATATGCACACAATTCTAGCACAGGCTACAATCATGCAGGAGTCACAGAGCTCTTTTAAATTCCCATCCAGTACTCAGCTCACGGGCATACTAGTAATACATCATCTGAATGGTATGAAACAATACCATTCAGAAGATAACCGAAGTAGGATTGTATGAGGGTGTTATCTTGGGCTCTACAGCCTGTCCTATGTATAGGTGCCATTGGTTCTGTTTGATTAGGCCAGTATAAACCACCACACATTCCCTCGTTCCAGCCTCGTTCGAAGATAAACTTTGGTCACTTTGGTGTAGGATCTTTTTTTGCATGTCATGACCAGGAAAATGCATAACCGTTCATTGTTTTCAGTTGCTCAGGCTATAGAGGGGCTATGGATTTTTCGTTGACATGCGTTTGTTGATTCGCAGAAGTCCCAAAACAATTTTCATGGTGCACACATCTCTCTACTCCAAGTCTGTGCAAATCGGCATAGAAAGTTGTCGTCAGACTATCGTTTCGCGTTCTGGCGGGCGTTAAACTTCAACATTCAAAGGCCGTCTCGCCCGGAGGTTCGAATCAAGTACTCTTGCGTTAACTCAGCTTCACGTCTGAGTGTGTCGCTAAAGAGAGTATCATCATCGGTGCCTCACTATCTTTTCCCCTCAGTTCGGCGAGGATCCCGGATTTTGCGGATGTAGTACGTTCCCATCAAGTTCCAAAGCATAAGTATGTACACAAACTCCTACAAGCTCTCGTTGTGTGCACCTGCTCAATTACCCATTAAAAAGGAACGTCGGTCCATTTGCTGAAACCGGTGCTAGACAGGACATCCCGTCCGTGCCATTGGAGACTGACCCCGAGCGCGTAGTTGAGGCAAAGTGGCGTCTTAGCCTTGGCTCCAACTTCAAAATACACAACATGCGATGATACACTTCAACAGAGGCTCGATCCCGCTCGCTGTTTTGGACTAAGTTCATTCCAAATCGGTGGAGGATTCTGGTATCATCATTTCATCATTTTCAATCAACCTAATGATCCCCTTGTCACTGAAAGCGCGATGTTTATCGTGTTCCACTCACGTTGTGAAGTCAGTGCTTATTGATACTTCCTTTCCCAGGAGCGTTTTAAACCGCTTCTTATTGGTCTTCCTCCAAAAAATGAAGGTCGCATGAGCAGCAAAAAAGCTCCACCGCGTTGCTCATGGTCTCTTCCTCCGCTCAAATGAATCCTGGTGACCTCCCTTTCTTCGAACACCGTTCGAGCTCAAGAAAATCATTCGACAGATTGTTCTAGTCTTGCACACACACTAAGCACCCTGCCATATCTTATTATGTCCCCTCACACAATCTCACTTAAACCATAAGAGTAATGGACTTCAGCGACTTCACTGACGGGCTCATTTTTTCGTTTCCGAGCTCGTCGGTCAGTTCAATGTGGATCAATTATGTTCAAAGGAACATACACTCGTAATTGTTTACCACTAAATCAGAATGTATACCACCAATACCACTGTCTACCACTGTGTCCTAATGGTGCGTCTTGATCCATTGAGTTCGATTCTGTGCCCTGATTTTATGGCATTCGAAGACGAGAGCTAGGAGCCAGAAGTATGTGTCTGCCAATCAGTCGAAACAAGCGCTAGAAGACTTATATATTCACAGTTCTCTTTCGGAGATTGTGCACAAGAAACAGGATCCGGATGTTCAAGAAAGCAATCACGTAAACAAACATTCCTTTCTTCCAAGTTGTGGCCATGGTTTTGAGGTCACAGTCGATTTCTCCGATTTGTGTGCATAGATTTACGTCGTAAATGAATACTTACGGTACTTTAGGTCGACGTGATGTGCAAAGTCGCAGCACTGGAACATGAGAAAATAAAACTTACTTTTTATTTCATTGCTGCCACGACGCAAAGTTCCTGGTGCCACGAGAGTATAAAGTAGGGAGTTGGATTGGATAGGATATGTGGCATCGCCGATTGAACCACGCGCCGCCGCGTTCTCGTAAACGATATGCTGTCCTAAAGCACAACGTGAGCTGGGAAATACCAGAAACGAAGACTTCAATGTTCATGAAGTATGTTGTGACGGATATTCCCAGATGAGTGCGACTGATGATTTTGGGAGAGAGCGATATGCCATCGTTACTTACAGTAGCACTTCCTGAAGTAGACGGGTTTTAACGCTTTGACTATCAGCTCCCAAGATAGGACATCGATATATTTGTAGCTAACACCGAACGCAGGTAAATTCCATGCTCATTTTCTTCTAGCTGAAGATCTATGATTGATCGAACGTCGAAAACACGGCGTTAGTGACTACACCCAGCATCTGGATGGCCTTTCTCTCGATGCCACATCTTACAGAGTGTAACACATATCAATCCATAAGGCAAGATCCACGAAGCAAGTCGCTGTCTCCTGTAAGAATTGACAGGTTATATTGAAACAGAGTTCGTTTAAAACAGTCTACTTATGTGTCATGTATTTCAACATATCGGATTTATCGGGATGAGATTATACGTATATACATGCCTTTTGCTCACAACGTACGCCACGTATCTCTCTATTTTCAGAGTAGAATAACGTCTAGTAGACTGACTACTGTCCTCTACTGCCTTAGACGAGCTGTTCTATTTCGGGTCCTAAAGTAGTACCTATTCCAAAATTCCGAACACCTACGCGCACAGATTCTGGAGTTCCACCAATAATTTCTATTACAAAGACTGCAAACCGAGCCTCAAAACATTCATGATCTAGGATTGCGAAGATGCCGACAGATAGATAGAAAGGGAGTATAAATCTCCGCGTCTTGTGATAAGATTCAAAGCCCGTCACGGAGGATTCTCGTGATGGCTGGGATGACAAGCCCCAAACGAGCTCAGGTTCCCCACCTTCAGAGCGAGATATATTACATCAGTGCAGATCAGATACATAGAGTGTACTCGAAGGGAGTATTCAGGTGTGTTCACTACAAAATCCTTGTCAAAATATAGCATAGTTTAGACTCCAAATTTTGCGTACTTTGAATTTTAGTAGAACACTGCAATCCTGTAGTAAATTTGTAAATATATCTCGGGGATCAACGTTCCACTTCGAGCTTCAAACAGTAAGTGCATTGAAGAATTATTGTGGTAAATCATTCTTTTGACTCGTTTGACTCCCGTATCCGAAATAGCATAACTTTTATAGTGTACTTGAGGTCACCTAGCAGTACATCGATGGAGAGGCCTTCGTGCACAGACTGGAGCAGACAAGGCGTTGACGGAGTAATTGCTTGAGGAAGATGCATGAACTCGGAGCGTGAAACCAAAGTTATTACTTATCGGGAGGCCATTTAAGTAGATAAAGATTGAGGTTAATCAATTATAGCAGGAAGTTGCTTACCGGTGATGGGAGTCACCACGATTATTCAAAATCAAGAGGATCCACATCCTTCGGAAATGTGTATCAAGACTACAAACCCCATGTATGCGATATGGGTAAGATCTGTATCTTCGCATCGTGTATTAGTCGTGTGATAGTAGTCGGAAGTTCGCCGAAGCCAACTTACCGAGAATCGATGAGTCCTTGCAACTTGAACGTGCAGTAGGCCACTGTAAATGCTCGTATCAAAATCACCGTTCTTCCGCTCAATCGCACCAACAGTTCAAATGTTCGCGTCTACGGTTCCAGGTGGAACAGGACTTGAGTACATGGTATCAGATAAATTAGAGCCTGAAAAATGGAAGGCGAACGAGGAAAGGCTGATCGAGGGGACGTATACTAGCATTATGAGACTCGAACGAATCTGACGCACCGCTGGAAGTCTAGAATCTATGTATACTCGAACTTCCCAGTCGTTTAATTCCCGTTCTCTAGACTCCATCAATGTAGAACAAACCAGTACAGGAAAGGGAAAGAAGAGGGACTTTTGGAAATGCTGTATAAGTATCGACATGATGGAACGCGGATGACGCACTGCCAAAGATGAGTTCTCGAAAGCGAAATTATGTGCGATCTAATGGATATGGAACCCCCAGTCTTTTTAGAATGGACTAACCACTTTCTGTTATAGTAATTGTGATGAGTACATTCGCAACTAATATCTCCCGTATGGTTCAGTGCATGCTGCATCTATCGACGTAGTATTCTGCATAAGTCAGTAGTCAGTGGGCAATACCTTTTTTACCGTGCATTTTCTGCGGAAGTTTTCAAACAGCTGAAAAGATAAATCATCCTGCAATGATAGAACGGAATGAAGGAACGAATGGAATGACGGAGTTACTAAATGTGACCTGAGATTGATGATTTATAAGTTGCTGACCCATATTAGACTAGTGTTCCCGAAGAGCAATACATATCCGTATTGAATGAATGGTCATTTGAATGGGATTTTTGAGGGCTCTTTCTTACTGACCAGTTTGCGGAACCGCCACTGGCGCCTTAGAACGGTCAGAGAAGCCGGAAAGCGGTAGCGATCTTAGTTCGGTGAGCACAAAATTATTCAGGATTTTTCCCCAGCATCAGAAGTCTGTGGATTGAGAGGAAAGGAAGTTCCGTTGAGTCTCTGATAACCTGAGGGTTTTGGGGCGACTCGTACGAGCATCATCGGCCAGAAACTTTCTAGTAGAGTAGGAATGAACGTGCAAAGAGTTTCTACGACTGATGCTTTGAACAATTCCGATGCGAGCTTTAACTTTAAGGTCCATCTTATCTCAAAACTCCTTCATCAGCGCAAGAAAGATTACGTTAAATTTGTGGTCTGGATTAGCAAGGGGTTTCGGCAGCTTGGTACAGCAGTGACTGCGGGATGGACCCAGTTTAAGATCCAAGCTGTCGGGCGCACTGCGATTAGATAGATCCCATACAGATCATCAAAAATTCGAATCGGCGTGGATAATAGCAGATGATAGCGTGAATTTAGGAGATCGAACGTCGAGCATAAAGATGCCCCCAACAAGAATTGCCTCGAGGTTTGTGACGGCGATTGATTTAGGTACGGGAGTTGGGATTGAGTAATACTTACCAAACGAACCAGAGTGACCACAAACCATGGTTCCTCTCCGAGTCTCCGAAGGAAGGAAAGCATAGACTCGATGCAGAGCTGAGGGACTGGAATCCGGGTCTTGGAGAGCTTTAGTCTACTGCCTCCGTTTAAAGAGCGTTTGGTCTACGTACTAAATGACCATGCACGAGGTAGCATTAAAGCGTCTAATCGGAGCTCAATCGCAGGCTGGTCGTAGGATTTACTGTACTCAGGTTGGCTATCTTTCGAGACGTCGTCACGACGGAAAGACAGAAGAATTACATGTCATTTGGGGTCATCTGTAGTAAAATCCAAAGCGATCATCATTAGCACAATGTGTACTTGAGTATTGAATCGAGATATGCCGACTCCTTACCTTCCCGTTAGACATTTCTGAGCGGCGTTTTCCGGCGGCAGTCAGGAAACACTTTGGGCAGGGTGCTAGTAGGAGACGTCTAGTAGTAAGAGGCCAGTCCATGGTAATATGTTTTTGCCATTGATAGCAGTGGGGGAGGCAATAGACGAACACCGGGGACCATGTGTGTAGAGAGAGGGTAAAAACTTAATTAATGACGATGAAGTAATGAAGTTGAAGTGATAGCCAAATTGAGATCAGTGGGATAAAATTATATTAAATGTCAATGTCCGACCAATTCTCCTTTTCCCCTTCCCGCATCTAGTCTTTCTACCTTCTGTCTTCGACATGCCCGAAGACACTCCGTCGTCGTCGTCGTCGTCGATGGTGAACAATTCACGGCCGAAAGCGCCGAAATCATCGCAAACGTCTGGCGTAGTGCGTGGTAGAACGTCCCCAGCACCTGGCTCTGGTGCAGATTCTTCATCGGCCGATGCTCGTCCTCAAAAGCGCGCCAGAAAGGCCATAAACTGCGAACCCTGTAGAAACAGCAAGCTAAAATGTGATAGGTATTGACTCAGGTGTATACGCTGCTGGTTTTGCTTCTCATGTTTTATGCAGAAATCGGCCTTGTTCATCCTGTGTTCTTCGCGGTCAGTCTTGTCGGTATTATCTTGCGGATTTTTACCCTTCTGAAGAGAGAACATCGCACATTTAGGGACTTCTGCTATGTGTTATCAGGATGGAAAAGGGCCCGATGGCGAGTCATACGTCCGCGGAGATGATCACCAGTACGTTGTTGAATATTTTTCAAGCCACATCTTGCTTAGCGCTGGCACGTCTTTTCGTAGCTATGCTCGAATAGACCCGGCAGCAGAGATTGCCCGGCTGAGGCATTCTATCACAATGCTCGAATCTTATGTTTTTCCTCATCAACGAGCTGCAGCCTCTCATACTCCTTCAAGCACTCATCGACGCAGCGAAATCATCGTACCGAAAAAGGAGCCAGTTGATTCGGATGTCAATGATAAATCTTCTCAGACTGGAGCTACAACGGCACCGGGTATGCTGGGTAGCAAAGTACAAGGAGGTCTTTATGCTGGTCCGACCAGCGCTGCTCTCCATCTTCTCTCCGTGCGTCGTGAAACCTTCTTTTTCGTTTCTTCTCCCATTTTCTCATCATGTTTTTTTGCATAGAACGAAGGCAGAGGCTCTGAAGATGGCACATCCTCACGCCAGGCCTCACAAGAACGTTTGTCCAATCCTGCCCCAGACATTGTGGACGACCTTTCCTCCAATGATTTTCCCACTTTAACCCCAGAGTACGATCGTGATCTACTTTCTCTTTTACCGACTATCGAAGTCATCGACGGCCTGATTGCTTATTATTTTGAGTATTGTAACTGGATTTACAGACACGTCAATCAAGCAGCGTTTTCTCATAACTGGGAACGTTTCAAGAACGGTGTCAATTCTGACCGCATCATCCTCGCTCTAGCTTGTGCAATCATGGCAATTGCTACTCATTATCTTCCAACCCAACACTCTCTTCTAGAGTCTCTCAATGAAACGCACGAACTGTTAGGCCAAAAATTCTTCGATGTTTCTACTCAGGCCCTTCATCGGAAGCAGCAGGAGACTAAGAGCTATACATTGGATCTCGTGGAACTTTTGCTCATTCGAACTCACTATCTCAACATGCTCAAGAACGATAGTGAGGAGATCTGGCATATAAGAGGGGAGCTGGTGACCATTGGTACTGCAATGGGACTTCACCGAGACCCTGGGAAATGGCGGATGCACAGAGATGTCGCCGAGAGGAGAAGGTGGGCATGGTGGCATATAGTTCTTTTGGAACGGTATGTGAAGGCCATTGCTCAAGTCCTGTAATTCACGAGGTTTTCTGTTATAGTTGGCAGGCCTTCATGTTCGGCCGACCACTCGCTATTGCTTCACACCATTTTGACACTTCTTTACCTTCCTACTGTGATCCTGCTGTCGACAAAACTGGTCGATTATTCCTTCCCAATATCGCTCTATTCAGGTTGGCATTCATTCTCGGAGATATCATGGACGATGCGGTTTCCGTACGACCTGTACCCTATGACTCTGTCCAGGCGAACGATCGTGCCCTCAAGCAGTGGATGGATAATCTCCCTTCGGAGCTGAATCTTGACGAATACAAAGTCGCTCGCAATCTTGCTAGTACAAATGCTAATTTACGGAGATTGGGCGTGCAGAGCGTGATTATTCGAACAAGTTATCACCACATCCGATTCACCTTGCACCGGCCGTACGCTAGCGCAGGTATTAGCCAGTCAGCTCAATCCTCTTCCGCTTCTTCCAAGAGTGCTTCAGACAATAAGCACTCCCAGAGCCTCGAAATTGCGGTTGGTGCAGCCAGCGAGCTAATCACTCTGGTCGGACAAAGCCGGCCAGATTTCTTAGCCAATTCGTCTTTGGCAGTCCCAGGGCATATGAATTGGGGCCCTTTCCATGTATTCTCCGCTGCGATGTTCTTTTCGTTTCAACTGATTGCCAATTCCGACCAACCTGGCGCTTCTCTATTCCGTGCATCCATCAAGAAGGCGATTCACACGTTGGATACTTGTCGGGGTATTGCTGTCGCAGACAAAGCTTCCGACATTCTCTTTGCACTTGCACCTTTGTACAGTGTCGATTTTCACTTGCAAAACAAGGAGAAAAGGGAAAAGGAGCGCGCTCGTATACTGAGTGTTGTAAGGAACCTTGCTTTCCCGTATCATGATTCCCACGATCCAAGACGATTTGGGGATAGTAGTCCTGCTAGCAATGGTAGTGGCCGACATATAGGCAACGGCTCGCCAATAGGTTCCTCAAGTGTCAGTCCACCATTAACTGTTGTTCCTGCCTCCCACGCGCGCTCAGATTTGCCAAACATGCACTCTCATGCAGTATATGAATCCTCATTGCATACACATGCAGCCATGTCGAGCATGCGGACGTCTTCAATATACTCACATCCTGGAGGCACGAGCAATGGACAGATTCAGCAAAGTGGTGGAGGTGGACATCCCTCTTCACCACTTTCTCAACCCCAAATGTCACCTACTGTTATGAGTTCAAATGCTCAACCTATGGCCTCAATGCCTTCGTCTGCTTCCCCAAACTCATACCAACCTTACATCACCGGCGCGCAGCCACAGGTGTACTCTGATTCGTCAAGGTATGCGCACTACCCGCATCCTGGGGACGACGCATCAATGTGGGGCGCCGCAGTGGGCTTTGGACAACGAGAATGGTCTCAGTTTATCGATGGTTTTCAACCTCCTCCCTCAGGTTCATCAAGTGTCGTTGCCCATCACCGACATCTGCAAGGTTGAATGCGAATACTCTTTGAACCGACATCTTTTTCTCTTGTCCTTTGCCTTGCTGGAGTTTTGTCTTCAAGCATTTTTTGGACAATTTATTCCATGAATATGCATCTGTATATTCACTATTTTTAGTAAGGGCAACAACGTCGAATGCTCGTTCTTCTCCATCTGTTGGGATTTATTTCATGTTGTATATCAATAATATTTTATATCTGCTTTCGTGTTTCTGCTCTCGTCGCGCTGCTATCGTACGTCCTTTGTAGCCCTACCCACGCATTGTATGTCTGGAGCAATCTTGATGTGTTTATCGTCTATCTACTTTCTCTCCAACATGAAATATTAAAAGACATGTACACACACGATTCAATAGAATCGTTGAGAGATCATGACAGATCCTACTAAACAGTTCAAGAACGAATCGGGATGTATTTTTGCATACGCTTTACTCGATTGGTAACCTCCATGCGTAGCTCAGAAAGTCGAGGAGGTGATGGTTCTTGTGCTATTCCGCTCACTAGCACTTGATCGATGAGGGTGTAGGGAAGCCACATTGAGCCAGCGTTTCTTGGAGTTTCTCGAGCGAGTCGGCTTTCAGTCTAACGGTGAACAAGAAATTGAATGTCCGATGTGCACACAAATAATTGAAGCTCACTTTTCGAATGAGTGACAATGTATGGTCAACGGCTTGTTCAAGATTTCCAAACCGTAAACTAACTCTAATGAGATATTCGTGATGATAATCCTGAAATGGTTCCATGTAAGTATGATTGCCCCAGAATCATGACTCGCGAGTCATACCTCTAAAACTTGTATTAGCCAGGGAGGAGGAGATAATTGAAAAGTCAGGATCGTTTCGAGTGTGATCTTCGAGTACTTGAAATCAGTCTCAATCCCATCGTGCCGCCTGAGTGATTCTCGCATATACCTCCAGCCCTTATCAGCGGGAGTACCAGGCCATGTTGATACATTATCAGTCAGAAGCCAATCCGAAGTATCTTCTTGCCTAAGGTAAATCAATGACAGAATTCCAAAACAGTCGATCAAGCCTTACACAACGACATCGGGATTATGAGAAAGCCTCAAACATTGAATTGTGAGATGGGCAAACAAATCTGTCATATCAACTTCGAGGCTGCGAGCAGTAGCCATAGCCATATTGAACCGGTTGGATTGGGCCAATTTTAATATAATGGAAGATGGAATAGGTAAAATTTCTAAGAGGCATTCAGTATATTTCTATGAGAAATGATGAGCCGGACATTACCCGTCAAGGAAGGCAAGGCAGGTATGACAGCAATCTGTGCAGATAACAGCGTGTACTCGTACTGGATATCTGACAATTGAATAATTTCATTTTCGTGCTTTCCTAAGGAATATCTAGATTCCGGGATGTTTCTCGTGATTAGAGATTTATGCTGGGGAAACTAGCATGAGTTGGGGAAGTCAATTTCTACAGGACACAGTAATCTTTCCTACCTCATTTGTTGCGTCGGCGGAGCCCGGCAAAAGAAACCATAAATTCTTCGGATCAGCAAGCGAAAGAGCATTCATGGCAATCATATATGCCTCTAATTGTTCGCCGGCCAAACGGGTCACCAGGGATGGTTCTCTGGTCATAAGTCCCTGAAGTTTACGCGCCCTTTGGTACATAATTGAGGCCGCTGTTGCGCATAAATACGACTCATAGCTGGATAAGACTGAAATCACACACCATTGCGATAATCGCCGCGTGAAAGGAACCATGAATACAAGATGTGCGGGTAGCTTGGGCGAATCAAAGGGTCCGCATTACGAGCTTTGAACGATAGAGCATCTTCAACTTCATCTGCGTAAGTAGCGAAGTTGAGAGAAAGCAATTTGTCCACTTGGTTACTTTCACACATGCGATATACCAATCGGCTAATGTGTTCGCGTTTTCTGCGGAAATATCATGAGCGACAGGAGAATGCATACATGGCTATGAGTCTTACTGAGTATCTGACGGTGTTGAAATCCAAGCAGCGTAAGCCTCCTCAAATAATCCCAGATCTATGTATCCCCGGACAACTGTATGCCATAGGAAAGAAGTATCTGTATTTGAAGGGGCAACAGATAGCGCGAGCTGTGTAAAATGAACTTCGTAGTGTTGTAGAGAGTTCGATTTGAAGAGGGTAGCCATATAGAGGTAAAACGAGTATGATGAATCGAACAACTGAGAAGAGGGTAACACGTTCTGTAATGCATCACGGTCTTCTTGTCCAAGAGCGTTGTCTGGACCTGTCAAAAATCCCAGTGAGCCACAAAAATAGTAAATTGTATAAAATATATGTACCAAAGCAGCCAGCGAGCTTTTCGAGGATGAATGCGGCATCATCTACCCGGCCAGCGTTTAGCCATATACGCGAGAGAACATAAGAAACACCAGGGCTTCGAGGAAGCCACGAGAGCAATTCTCGAGAAACATGCATGTATCCAAGGACCCGTAACTTCTCACAGAAGGAGACCTCTGCTTTGGACGCAACTGCGGGTGTTATGGATTGCAATAAACCCGTATTGTCGAGAAAGCGGTGAGCCGCTCCGGGAAGTACGTGGCTCGTGTCACCGGTCTGGATAAGCAAACGGTGCACAAGGGAATAGGTAGGAGTAGAATGATTCCGGTTGCGCGACACTTGCATGTTCTGTAACAATGATACCACGTCATCCGCTGAAGAAACGTCATCAAGTGGGGTCTGAGTTGTAGCACTAGATGGTTGTTGAATAATATAACGTAGTGTTGCGGTCCCTCGGAATACCGCAAATACTTCTGCCAATAGTGAAGGATCCCAGTCAGAGAGGTCATCCACAAGAAAAAATAAAAGCGACATCAAGCATAAACACAATTCATATCTGGCGTTGGTTGAAGACATGATGTACGAGGCTGTTAATCCTTTGAACCAATCAGAATCTGGCCGGGGGAGAAGTAGCTCAACTTCATCTTCTTCTCTTTTGATACCCATATCAAGGCCGCCTATCACATCAAGAGAGGTTCTGACGGCCTCATCTATACTGTCTATACTCGCGAGTCGACCACTGAGCCAAAGGCTAGCCCCTTCATCCAGGTTATCTTTGAAATGAAATTGACCAGCTTGGTCTTTCAGAATGTCAGCAAAAGGAAAGGCAATCTCTTGGTGCATGAGATCAACAAGACAGCTTTCCAAGGAAAGCATAGTTTGCGCCCCTACTTTGTGCCGAAGAGTCCAAAGAATCCCAAACAAGTCGTACTGAGAGTCCGCTATTCGAAGATCATGAGAAAGGACCTGATGCAGGTGAATTGGTAGGTCTTCGGCCACTAGAGCGCTGATGCGTTCGCGTTCTACGACGATGACATCACCTTGACCTTGAGCACCGAGGACGAGAGGCCAACGCGCACTCCGTTCGATTTCTCGGCATCGAGCAATGAATCCTTCCCAATCCCTTTTCAATGCATTCCAGTATTTGTCGTGTTGTAAGGCACCAGTGCTTGGGTCTCTATTCAGATTGACGGTGCACCCAACAACTGCAGCAATATTCTCTTCCAAAGAAGCATACGTGACGGTCAATGGATTAGGGGGCGGCCCAGGGAGAGACAGACAAGCATCAGTGTATTGATCAATGGCGGTGCGGAGCGTTAATGTGGAAAAAACATTAGGCCTCATGACGGCGTCGAAATACTTGTCTGCCATGGAACCCTTGCCCATCAGGACTTCTTCAAGGTTAGCTGGGGTGAGTTCCGTCTCAGGGGCACACAAAGCACTCTCCCAAACAGAAAGCCCGTTGTTCCTTACAGAGCTCAAGTCGAGCATTGTCTTTTCAACCATCGATTGGCCTTGACGATCCCACAGCGTATACAGTACATTGCCTATGACCATGAAATCTTGCAAATGACAGTGTGCGGTATGTCTAGAGCATTGGATAACTCCGACCTCATTGACTTGGTCGGAGAGCGTGTCCAACAGCTGGAAGCTGCCTCCAAACATAGGGGAAGAAAGAGTGGGGAGAAACGCGAGAATATAGAAGTGGTCATCATCGCCAGTGAAGGAGAATACGCGTAATAAGGTTTGACGTTCCGCGTCCAGAAGCACCTGAGGCTTTCCCGGTGATGAACGCCCTGAGATGGGCGAAGATTCTCTTCCGACTCCGTGTGACAGCGTTTTCGCAACTACGCAGCCTATCCTTGGCTTCCAAAGTCTTAGTACACGATCGCGCGAAAGTGTCCAGACGTAGTCAATGTCTGTGGGCCAAGGATGCGTGGCCATGGATATGATCTCTGAAGCATGAGAGTGCGTAGCACCTAGAGTGGGCAGGAAAGACTTGAACGATGAAAGAAAGGATCCAGTTTGGAATATGGATTCTGTCCATTCATCTATGTAGAGAAAGTATAGTAAGCTTCACCGGGTTTCGTGCGACAGCCATAAACTCACCGTCCGACCTTCCTGACCCTGTATACTCAGTTTCTAGTCTCATTAAAGATCCACTAGGTTGGCCGATGAAAACACAATGTGGACCGTGGATATGCACCAGTCCTTCCATTGAGACAGAAAAATTCTTGACAAGATATTCGGAGGTCCATATGCTCTGGGTAAGGTTGCGCCATAGTTCGAGACTACCACCAACGGGAATTACAGCACGGTAAACGGATCCGGTGACAGTGACAGTAATTAGATGTATTTCGTCGTTACCCCATAAAAAAATGGCGGGAGATAGGAGGACCGGCGAGGGAAAGATAAATCGAAGAGGCTGATTCTGTGTGGATAGAGAGACAATCTCTACAATGAATCCTCCATGAAGAACACGGAAGAGGACAGTCCCGGTAGATGGTGTATGGAGAACCGAAGAATATAAAGCGTGTTCTGCTGGATCCGACTCTTTTTCAATTGAAGAAAGCGGTGCGTCTACCCGTTGTGTTTCGACATATATCGACAACGCTCGAGATTGTGGAAAGAGGGATGAAAGGTGTGTGCTTATCAAGAGGCTTCCATCCATAGCTTTGGGCTAAATTGAAGAGACAGCTTGCTCAAAATACCACACAACATCATGTGATCTGAATGCGTCGCGTAGTATAGTAGTTTGATTTTTTGAGTAAGACTATTTATTACTTTAATTTACCGAGTTACTACGTGTTCTAATAGGTTCTGAAAGGACTTTCGATTGTCCATTTAGCTGTACATCATGGTGTGCCTTCAGTCCAGCTAGCCTGAGTATTGAGATCTCCTGAGATCAATTAAGCCCCCTATCCGAGTTGCACTCGAGACGGAGCCTAAGATTCTGTCCAGTAAGGAGGGCATAATGCAGCCACTCAGAGGTCAAGCTTCTAGCCCATGTTGCACCCACAAAAGCATAGGATTGCTTGAAACTGGTCGATCGACCTTACCGTCTTCTGCCACTGGTGTGGCTGCCATCAACGACAAGTGCCTAGGTTAATCTGTCCTTCAGTCCGCCATTGAAAGATGAGTGCGAGACAGTTAGAGCAGCAACCCTACGGAAATTCATGTGAGAAGATACGATTAGGATTGGCCCGTGAATCGGAGGTCATTAACATTCTAGGTCTTTCCACATATACCTACCTACCTACTTACCTTGAAAAGTTGAAACACATTGTTGATCTAATTGAAGTCTGAGATCCTGGTCATTGATCCGGGAGATTCCTTCCTTTTCCAACTTCCAAGTAGCGTAGACGCTCGTAGACGACTACTGGCGCAGTAGGACGCAGTCCGTATATCTACTCTTAAATCATTGTTGCACCCCCTCGTACTCTCTCATACTACGACGCCGCTTGCCAACTCTGGTCCTTGACGGACGGACGGGCTGCCAAAGTTTAAACGACCAACACAGAATAATAACATGCAAGTTGAAGATCCGTCCCGCACAGGCGATCACTCGCTGATGAACATTGGCCTAACATTGCCTGAGTAAATCGCGATCGGCAGACGAAGCAATAGGGCGGGGTTGGCAATGTTTACAGCCATTCTGGCTTCATTGACAATGCCCGCTGGACATGATCAATTACTTTTGGCTGATCAGAGCGGCACTGCATAAGTATTACGACGGTGGGGAGTGAGGTTCATTCCTTCAGAACAGGTATACTCCTATCATAACTGGTATAGTAAGACAGTAATAAAATAATATTGGAACAGTGAGCCCGAGGAGTTAAACATTTAAATCCGTTGCGGAGAATGCATGTGTGGCAACTTGAATATAGACTCTGGTTAAGTGCCATGTTTCATTCGAGACAGATATGGGGAGTGCAAGAGGTGTGAGTTTTATACAGGCATGTTCAACGTCGTTGTGGCGCAAAGAAGAGAGCGTCTATTGGCAACATAACAAAATCAGTAGACTATTACTCCGAACTTGCAAGTTCGCCTTGGGCATTGCGGGTAGGGAGCTGTGACCAAACTTTGCCACCATAGGGATCGAGGAATTTGATGCCGGTTTACCCTAACTACTCTCTACTCTCTCTCAATCCTGATCATGATCGAAAGTCCGTGACTCTGGAAAATCAATCTCTAATAGGCCTTTCATGAACGCGAACGTCCGACCTCGGTTCTTCGTGATTACTCTCCAATTACTCTTGTGGGTTCAGCCCTGGTACGGAGATTTATTTAACCTCGTGGTCTTCGATTTTACTGAGACGCAAAACGTACGCCCAATCCTCGTCTCAGGTTAAAAGGATGGTCGTTTCTAGGGGTGAAATTTCTACTGCCCAACTTGTTTCTCTGTTCTTTCAATAATACAGCTGGAGGTTAGATCCATGGAGCAGATTGTTAATTTCGACGCAATATTGTTCCCCGCAGACGGTATTATAATTTTCCTCCATTTGGAGCCTGGATATTTACGTTGTCGGCGCCAAGGACGTTCCCCTTCCTTGGTGCTACTTATGACCAGGTCCTCTTCCTGTTGTCACATCGCCTGAATATCAATTCTTATACAAGTTGCTAGCCCGATGACAACCACTCACCACGCCGCCTACACCCAAAATCCAAGCCGCATGCCCCATCCGGAAGTGCACATGGACTATGTAAGTCTACAGCAGTTCCTTCAAGCAACCAAATTAAAGTTGTCCAGATTGACGAGAATCTGGGCTCAAGAGCATGGAAATATCAAGTTAGTAAGCCGATCATGGTGTGAGAAGGTTCAAAAAAATTGATTACCTGGCCCTCAGCTTGTCGAAGCACTGGATGGCATGAATCGAAAATTTGCCTGCCCATATATCATCTTTTACCCAGTAGTTTCTCGAGATGGAATGCTTTTCCCCATCAACAAAGCGATACAGGACATGCAAGGTCTAACTTACAATGAAGAGCAAGCCTGGCGCGGCAATCTCGTGGTCGGCAAATATCGAGAAAATCCATTCACCTCTATGATGGATATATCGATGGCCGATTTCCCCATCCTCAAAAATTTTTTGCAAACGCATGGAAGCCCTCGGCAGGTATGAGTTTACCTAGATTGATTTGCACAGAAATCTCCTCCTTGGTATATGGGACGTTACATAATGGGATTGGGATACTAATCTGCAACAGTGTCTATTAAAACTCTTGATGTGTATTTGGATCTCTTTCTTGTACGAGCGCACGCCGCTCTGCAGTGTCCTTCTTCGCCCCAGTGTTATTTTTATTTTTGGTGTCACAGCCTTCGATTATAGGGCTAGAGGGGTCAATAGGAGGATGTAAAACTCTACCAACTTTGAAATAATTTGGGTGGTTTTCGTAAAACTTTCTCCAATGGCGAATGCCCTACATGACTATTGAGAACTTTTTGAAAGATGAATATTTAAAGGAGACTCTCGCGAACCTTGATCTCAGCATCGGTCAGTGCTCGCAAATCGTGAGTGCGGTGTGTCTTGAAGCAACCTGTCCCGAAAGCGCGCGCGGCATCTACACCAGTTCTGAAACACGGAAGTCAGTGCTGAGACGATTCGCATATCACGGGCACAACAAACAACACATGATAAGGGCCTCCCGGTTGATAGGCTTTGCCTTTGGTCACGTCGTAAACGTCCCCGTCAATCTAAACAGAAAAGATGAGCCATTATCGAGAGAGAGAGCCGGCCTTACCCCAAGGTAGACTGGTTTGTCAGGGTCCATTCCGTCATATTTTGCAAGCTCGCTCTCAGTAAATAGACGTTGGGGAGGCTGCAAAGGATGTTCAGTTTGTGCCTTTCCTCCAGTTGCAGAAGGACTGACTGACCGGAAAGTATGTTCTGAGACGTATCCACTTGCCCTCGTATTCCCAAACGTAACTACCAGTAAGAAATTTACCCGCCAGCGCGATAAAGATGATCAAGTATAAGATGAGCCTCAAGGCCTGGACGAATCCTGTATGCTCGCTGGCGTTTTCGACAGATACAGACACATCTTGATGGTCATTGTCGTCTCGCGTTTCCTTTGGTTTCCTGTTCGCCTGTTTGAGACTGTTTGCGCGATATTTCATGGATTCGGGACTAACGGAAGAGGAATGTTTGCTTTAGCCATCTATATATCGGGAGAGGATGTGGTTTGAAGTGGAAACCGGCTAGAATCCGGCGACATCTCCGAAAAGATCACACCGTTAAGATTTATACATTTTCAATTTAGCTCTCATATCCATAGCTTTAAGTTTGCCTTTTTATGAGTAAGATCTGTTTTATTATTACTTGTGCTATAAAGTACTACGAATTACATGTAGGATGATGAATTGACACAAGGGAGTCTGCAGTGAAGGTTGGCAAAATAGCAGTATATAGGTAGGCAATTGTGTATGCAAGACCACAACGGGGAGAAAGAAAAACATGAAAGAATAAGTGCAACGAAGAAAGAAAATAAGCCGCCGGGGTGGACGTGCCTACACGTGTTAATGCAATGGACACCGAGAAGAATAATGAGATGAGCATGTTGAGGGTGACAAGAAAAAGGCAAGAGCAAATGTCTGGAACGATAAAGGTGACCCCAACGGAATGCAGATGTAAACGAAATTCAACCCATCCGTAACAGACTACGCGAACAAAAAAGGTTCCTCATGGTGACGACCCCATAGGTGCGGTATGTGCTTGTTGTTGCCTATGTTCCCGTTCGCTCGCTTGTTGCGAAATCGTAATATAAGCACCACCCGATTCTTCGTTATTGCCTAGACCCGGAGGCTGAGAGGGACCGGAGGACAATAGTCGCACATCGTCATCAGTCGGGTCAAAATCTTCGACCCAATTTCGCATAGCAAGAAACTTAGGGGTCTTGATGAACTGGTCCAAGGAAAGATCAGTGAGGGTTCTTTACTAGAATAGATATAGAGCGAACCTTAGGTACAGAGTCTGTGGCCATTAGTCGGAAGACATGTACCTGGATCCGCTCGTACAAACGGATCATGGTTTGAAGTTGCGTAGCATTAAAAGCATTAGCCTGTTCAGGCTCCACTTTTCCAGCGAAAGGCTTCCCATCCAGACTAGTTACAACATCGTCCAAATACTTTACCAACTCGTTTCTGAGCCCGTGGTCAATGTTCAGCTCACACGTACTAGACGGAGCCAAGTACGTGTTATAAATGACAAAGGCTGTGGATATGAGGGATTCGTGATGACGCTCCATGGCAGCTTGACCAGGGGTTGTCCGTGAACCCGACCTAGGTGGAGGATTCACTGCAACAGCACTGGAAGTGATGTTGAATTTCCGCTTGAAGTCCTGAACATCAAGCCAAAAGGACAGGTTCTCTTCGCAAAAGTTACTTCTCAAGAACTCGCGAAAGAGAGATCGAAGACTAGGTTCCTCGAGAATGTAGTTAAGACGTTCAGTGTTGCTCTCCTTCGTATTCTTCTTTTCGGCCGCCTGGTAATTGACATTGAGCTTTTCGGCCATAGATATGCGTCGATGAATCTTCGCATCGCTCCCTTTCTTCTCTCCACTTTCCGATACATTATCGACGGACGAGCGCTCAGCATTCAGACTGGCAGAAGAAGCATTAGGAGAATCATGAGCTCCGAGAGGCCTGGAGCCATCCCAATGAGCGACACGACGCCCTTCGTCCGTGATCTTGTATATGGCTTTGGCGGTGCATCGGAATTCGCCGTGTTGCTGTTTCAATACATGAGCATAGAACGGCGAAAGAAAAAACGATGGTTACGCACGCTGACAGGCGAGTTCCCACCTGGTGCAGAGCCTCGTACTGTAAAGATGATGGCGGAATCATTGTTCTTCCTCTTGTCGCTGACCAAAGTGATGAGACCGAATCGAACGAACTGCGCTGCCATCTCTGCAGCTTCCTCCCTGCCCACCACCGACGTGAAATCACACAACCATTCGAGTGCAGTCACCGCAGCGAAACAGTATTTGTGGTGTTGTTGTCCCTTACCAAGTAACGGCTGAGCACGCTCGGTGACATCCATCAAGAAAACGCCCCTGGCGCGTTCGTTGTATCGTTGAAAAGCGTCCTGAGGCTGGGTAGTTTGTGATGGATAATTCGCCTGACGACCGACAAAACGACGAAAGAGGGCGGTGATTACGGACTGACTAACAATGATCTCGTCATCAGCTGATCGACGCTCAAGGTGAAGGAGTTTTATGCAGATGGGCTGGGTGATGAAAACGTTCTGGAGGTGGTCGGAGTTAATACCGTTTTTGCTGATGAATCGCTCCAAAACGTGCAAGCCCTTGGGCGTCAGGATGTAGATGCCCCTGTCCTTGAACAGGTTAGAAGAAGGATCCGCAGCATTTTCGATGAGGCGCGCATCCATGAAATGCTGGCTCATAGCCTTTGCCATATCTCGGGTCATAGAGAACGTTGTAGTCGTCGTAGTCGTAACCACTCGTGAAGGTTCTCTGGGGTCCGGCCCTCGATTTGACTGAGAGAATTTGAGGGAAGCCAAGTTCTGCGCTGCCTCATCGCTACAGAAAGTCAAAAAAAGGATGAGTATCTGACTGAGATAGAGATACAACCACGCACGTAGAAAACGAGTTCGGAAATGTACGAAAAAACTGCTTATGCGGGGCAAGTTGAAGAGAAACTATTAACGTCGCAAAGAGATCCAGAGTATCCTAAAATAGAGAATTGAGTACCATTGACCAGCGGAAAGCAAGATACGGCTTGAATTTTACCTTTAAGAAAGGCCTCCCGCGTTTTGTTGTCTTCATCATATGGGATGATGCCTGCGGGTCCGTGTCGGGCATGGTGGACGAATTATAGGAAAGAGCAAAAGAAGAAAAAAAAACAAAGGCGGTCCTCCTGTTGGTATTATGAGGGAAGAGAGGCTAAAAGCAAAGGGTGAACGTCGGAAGGAGATGGAAAGATGAAGGTGGAATTATAATGGGTGGGAGCCCTTGGTTACTATGCGCTGACGTAAGCTCCACTCTCCCACACTGTGCCTCGTGTTACAAAAGATCCTTCAGTTCGGTTGATCACTTTTACGCTTCTACCCCTGTTTGGTCCTGAATTCATTACTCAACCAGTTGCCTCCTGTTGCCTCATGTTGTTTCGAGGCCCCAGGCAGGTTCGTCTTTGAATTCCATGTTTGTCATGACTCACGCGCTCGCAGGGTGCAAAGGACATGATATAAAGCGCAATCATGGTAGAGGATACGTAGTCTACCATACACGGCAAATGCAGACTATCTTTGCGACTATGAATCGGACTGACAATTGAGAGATTTGCGCAACAATCTTCGGGGCCCGCAAGACGGTACAAAAGGTGGGCCTCATCATATTGGGAATGCTGCTCAATTGTCCGAGCGGATCGTGTTTTCCACTGGAAATGCATTTCATGTCCTACATACGCTACATAGAAACCCGGCCAAAACTTGGTATTAGAGGTATTCTGTTGCTTTATAGCATTTGAGTCGATCTGCCACATTGGCCCATCTACTTACTCTTCATACGTCTCCAACTAAGTCACCGCATTGTTTATTACACTGCCGCTTCCCTATCAGTGACTCCAAGTGAGACGACCCTGCTATTAATATGGGCCTATAAATGCCCATGAGGATGTTCTGAGTGTAATGTTACAATTCCGAATGCAACGTTTTAGTGCAATTCTCTTTTGAATCCCGTCTGCGCTAGAACCTACTGGATCTCGTTTTACTTCAGTTTATTTCGAGTTTTTGCTAGATAAGTGATTACCGAGAATGCTTGTCAAAGTTCTTGTATACGGACTCGCAATCCGAAAATTCAAAATGCCCACTTAATTACAGAAGGACATTTGATATGCGATATCCATCTAAGTTGAAATTACAGTAAGCTCTATCTCGTTGCAATTGGCTTGTTTCTTTCATTGCTACAAGCTGTATTTGAGCTGTTTTATCGAAAGCGTAGACTCAGCTGATCAAGTACCCTGATGGAAGTGTGCCACAAGCGCCCAAATTTTACTTTTAAACATGGACGCCAACGTAAGTACGCTATAGCACAATGTAAGACTCAAATGAATGTTTATCAAGGACACTCAAGGCATTCAAGCTCTCCTGGAGCAATTACAACATTCTCAGGCTTGGAAAGATGCTGTCGCCTCCTCGTATCCTGATGGAAGCCCTCAACACATTTTAGATACACCACAATCTAGTTCTGCACCCCAGGCTGTTTCCGTCGCAGCCCTTCTCTCTCAACTCCAGACCGAACCTCACCCGAATGTTGTTGACACGTCACAGAATCATCATCTTGCCGCCTTCCAAAACGACGCATCCGAATCTTCCTTTTCGATGACCCTTCCTGCTTCTAATAACTCAGTGCACAGAGTTGACGACCACCGGTACTTGACTTTTCAGCAAGCGCTTCCCTTGATAGCAAGGAAATCTGCGAGCCCGTTATTTGCAGAAGCTTTGAAAGCTGTGCGGCACTATTCTATCATGGGTCAAGCTCCATTAATTAGCATCTTCTGTTGCAGATGAAGCAGGAGCAAGAGATCCTCGAAATCAAACTATCAGACGAGAGAAAGGCTATTCTATCGAAGTACGAAACAAGAGTAAATGTTGCAAAAACGAAGTGATACCGGATTCCTTTCAAAGCATGAATTGCGCATAATTATTTGTTGAACATAGGGCATCCATGATTGGCTCAGGAATATCGAGGCACGAAGCTAATGTTTGTGAAGTTTTTGGAGATAAATCACTCAACATGTTGGTAACAGTGCTGACATTGATATTTTCAGATGTTGGTGGATGCTTTCGAGAAAGAGTTGAAACGATTCGATGTTGAGCGGGTGCTTCCTGCATGGGATGGGCTTGTTTTACAGCAACAAGAAGCACTCTTCCAGATAGGCGTACCAACCATGTTTGCTACAACGGAGTTATCAGAAAGAGAGGTATGCGTAACAACTTCCATTTCGAGTTTCTCCTAATTTCCAGTGGACAGAAACAACAGAAGATCATGCAGGTGCTGGAAGGCCTCATCTGAATTATTTAGTGATGAAGCCGGCCTGTCTTGAAAATATCAATACGGAGTTTACATGTACCTCCCTCTGTACTAGTACTTGATTTTTGATTGTACATACATGTATGTGAGTTCACTTACTTAGATGTTTTGGTGTGTTGTCGGTGTGCCGTAACCGTTTGAAATTCAAATATCGGACCGGTGCGGTGATCAGCGGCTACTCTTCTATTCAGGGCCATAATCGGGTTGTGAAATGGTGAAACCAAAACCTTTCCACTGCTACCTACTGCTACTTACTCTTCCCCAGCTCTTCTCTACTCTTCCTCAATTTCTCCTCTGCTTCTTTCCAAATCCTTCTTGAATGAAGAGAAATCATTGGCATGCCCTTCGTCGATATCTATAGCAAGGACGACTTTGCGTCGATATTTTATATCACCAATACCGAGTATGACTGTGTTGGTGGATTTGACCCGGAAAAACCGACCATCTTGATGCTACATCCGACAACGTTGGACTCGTCCTGGCTTACAGAACAATTTTCCGACCCGCGACTTGGGAGCAATTTCAATCTCATTGCATTCGACATGCGGGTTTGTGGACAGTCCGTATGCAGAGCAAATGGAAAGCATGATTTATGGGTGGAGGCAGCAGATATTGCAATGTGTTGTCAGGTCAGTTCAGACACTCTGCTCATTTCCTTCGCCGTGAAATACCTTCTTTTCCTCAGGAACTACACCTACCACCCTGCCACATTTTTGCTTGCGAAACCCTAGCTGTCAACTCTGCTCTGCGCTTCGCCATATTGTGGGTCTATGTGATACAATGACACAAACTATAACTGACCTTCTTAAGATTCCCAGAATTGTGTCTGAGCTTGACGCTGTGTAATGTTCCGGCTCCAACAGAGTATGTAACTGCTTTATTGGAGCAGGCTCATATATTCACCTTTCATCTATGTAGAATGAAATGGGTCTTCAATGCCTACGATGAAATGATGCAAACATGGTGCTATACTGAAGATTTAGAGTCGCTGGAACATGTTTCGATGGAACTAACTCGGTTTATAGTGGGATCAGTGCGTACACAGACCGTTTCCTCTACTTTTTGTATATCGTATTGAAGAAAACCTTCACCAAGGAATGTGATCCTGACTTGAGGGATGATGTACGCTCAGGAATATTCGGTAACCCGAACGCGTAATTTGCTGATGAATTGTCTCAGTTAATCGAATATTGGGAGATTGAAATGCCTCCCTTCCGTCGGACGCGCATAGTAGAACAGCTCGGGGTAATCATGAACGTGAGCTTTACATTCCGAGGTTTTTGACCACGTTGTCTGATAAATCACCAGCGGACGCCGCTGAAATCATACATGCTGAAGGAGGTCACTCAGCCAGTCCTTATCATTCAGGTCAGTCCTCATGGTTTTTGTAATCAAGAATTTCTTCCAACGATCTTGTATCGTTATCAGGGTGAGCGAAATGAAGTTTCCCCGCTCAAATATGCCGAGAGACTGGTTGCGGACCTTGTTAACGCTGAGGGTGGTGCCATATTGTATGAGGTCAAGGGTGCGTCCTCCCGTCTCTGAAGTAAACTTATACTATATCCATTGATTCTGAACAGGAGGTGTCGGTGCACTGAACGTTGTCCCGGGAACCGCTTCAATTACTAATCAGGTCTTCAGCAAGTTCGTCTTGAGATTACCACACCATAGATCCGACCTGCTCCCCAGTCCTACTCCTAAGATGGAACGAATGTCTGTCGCGTTGGAAAAATTGGCGCAACTGATGGGCGATTCGGCTATTTCATTGCGGGATCCTCTGTCACCAATGTCGTTCTCATGTCTTCCACCGGAGGTGGTCAAAGGCCAGGAAGATTCGTTGAAATTGTATCGAAAAGGTGAGGGAGCCGCGTTCAATCCCTGCGGACCCAACGGGAAACCAATTAGAAAGTGAGTCATCAGCATCCCTTTTCCCGTGCCATAATCATCATTTTACCACCTCTTGATAGATTTTCTGAAACCAGGAAGCAGCATTGGTTCTCAGGAGAGAAAGACGGGATATCTTATGCTAGCTGTGGGTCAACTTCCGCCTATCTTGTTGAGGGTCTGATTTGATTTGTTACTTCGCAGCGTCATTAACAAAAAATGGGAAACAAGAAGCTGAACCGTATGAAAGATTACTACCTCTTCCCCAATCAGAGCCTGTAACGGGTGATCTCGCACATCAAGGTCGATTACGACGGGCCACGATCAGCCCGAGTTCAGTGGATAAACATGTCATCAAAGGTTCTATGGCCAAAGTTGTGAACTCTAATACCCCCAACTCGTTTCAACGGCTATTAAAATGATTGGATGGCTTTCTTATCCTGTATAATCCAGACAGCATCTTCACATCTACACCTACATATATATTCATGCGGATTTAACAAGTACATACCTTCATTATTATACTGCAGAACAACTCTACATTAACTTCTACCTCCCTGAGGTTTCCTACCGTCATATTCACTGTACATGGTTGTTGACGTTGAGGCCTATAAATAAACACATTGGTTCAATATATGGAATTCACCACAAACCGCTATATGTATAACCATCGATATTATTCGAATATGTATCCCCAATCTAATTAACCTAAAGAAAATTACCGACATCCAGTGATGACCGTTCCGATTCGTACATAGAAAGTAAGTGAGAGCACTTTTTGGGACTGTGCAAGTATGCTGTAGAACCAGATAAATTTAGAGGCTGCCCTCAGCCATCTTAGCCTTGTAATACCTAACCATCTCCTCCAAGCCCATACGCACAGTCCACCGTGGCTGCCACTTGAGCGACTCTTTAGCACGACTGGTATCTGGGCGGCGTTTTTGTGGGTCGTCGTTGGGAAGAGTCTTGTAAATTATCTGAACTCGACGACTAGGCCTGTCTCCAGCCTCCGATTGAACCTTCTCCACAATTTCACGGACGAGCTCGGCGAACTCCCCGATTGTGAATTCGTCACCGTTTCCAATGTTTACAGGGCGAGACTCGTCGGAATTCATAAGACATATGAGGCCGTCGATAAGATCATGGATGTACTGGAAAGATCGAGTTTGGGTACCGTCACCATAAACAGTGAGGTCTTCACCCTTGAGCGCTTGAACAATGAAATTGGACACCACACGGCCGTCATAGGGGTTCACTAATCAAAGAACGTTGAGCAAGCGCTCGTGGTAATGGAAAACCATGTACACACTGCGAGGACCGTAAGTGTTGAAGATACGAGCAACACGAACATCGACACCATCCTGACGTTGATAACCGTAGGTCAAAGTCTCAGCGACTCGTTTTCCTTCATCATAGCAGGCACGATCACCAATCGGGTTGACATGACCCCAGCTGCAAACATTGAGATTGCGAATCGTGAAACACAAGACTGAATATACGCACTAATCCTCAGGTTGTGGGTGAACCTCAGGGTCTCCGTACACCTCTGCACGAAGACATATCATGAGGCACGAGCATAATCCATCGGTGGACAAATCTTACCGGAGGTGCTTGAGATCAGGAAACGTGCCTTGGTACGCTTGGCGAGACCAAGCATATTGAGGGTACCCATGAAAGAAGTCTTGACGGTTTTGACAGGATTAAACTGGTAGTGAGGAGGGGATGCGGGACAAGCAAGATGATAGATTTCTATTAGAAGAAATCAGAAATCATAGAGAACTTGCGAACCGGTCGGACGTACGGTCACATTCAATCATAAAGGGCTCGACAACATCATGACGGACGAGCTCAAAATTAGGGTGACCGACCCAGTGGCTGACAGTGGTTCTCGACCCAGTGAAGAAATTGTCGAGAACAGTAACGTCGTGACCGAGAAGCATGAGACGGTCGACGAGGTGGGAGCCAACGAAACCAGCACCACCGGTCACGAGTACACGTTTACGTTGAGAGGGCGCGAGCAGTTTCACGGGAGGGAAACGAGCGAGTGTAGTATAAGAGATTGAGTTATCTTCAGGGTAGAATATCGATTTTGATTGATAAGCTGAAAGACCTTTCGTAAATTTGGCGTGCTGCTGTTCCTCAGCGTCAGGGTCCAGCGAATCCCCGTCGACTTTATCGGAGGTGGATGTCACGACGTAATGGGAGCGGAGGTACAAAGAACGTAAAGCGTCAATGGGGACCTCGCTGTTGAAGCCAAAACGGTCGAAACCAACTGAGACGATTTCCTGACCGCTCTTGTCGAGGACCTTGACCTGAAGAAGAAGATTAGCGATAGAATTGAAGTCGGAAATATTAACCATACAGGAGAGGTGGAAGGCATGATGGTGGTATGGAGAAAAGAAAGAGGATGAACGTACAGACTGACGGAATGACAAAACTCGCGATTTTCTGAAGTTCACACGTTCCTGGGCTATTGCTCACTTTCCCTACACTGTCACCCATTATGCCTCGCGCCATAAAATCATCAGGCAAGACCCGTCATGATCCCCTGCTCGTTCAGCTCGACGAGGATCAGCAGGAAGCAACATATGGTCGAGTCTCGGAGCCGGGAAAAAGAAAAAAAAACCCCAAAAAATCAGTGCAGGAGAACGAAGATTCGGAGGTAACACTATCATAATTCTACTCTCACGTATCCTCTTTGATCATAATCTGTAAGGCTGTATTAGATCCAAAGACCTCAAGACGTATCTTAGAATTAGCCAAGATTCAACAAGAAGAGTTAGATGCTCCAGAGACAGAAGATGAAGAAGGTGAAGCAGGTTATGAATTTTCGGCAAGGGATGTCGATGAGGACGAAGAAGAAGAAGGAGATAGCATAAGTGGTGAGGATGTAGAAGAGATATTCGTACGTCTTTCATATCCGACTTTTCACCTCTATACAATACATCTTGCAGGAAATAGATTCAGGAGATATGGAGACCCTAGACGCATTACTGCCTCATAATCCTGGGGAGCGCAAAACTTTAGCAGATATAATTTTCGCAAAGCTCGACAGTCATGGGACCCAAAACACCGCTGCGATACAAAAAGTACAACAAGGTATGCGCAAGATTCAGAGTCTATGAATTAACAAGAATCGGACATTAAATCTTGCTATTCACCTGTAAGATCGATCAAAGCCAAATCCAGCTCTGGGGCTTGACCCAAAGGTGGTCGAAGCGTACACGAAGTACGCATTTCTATGAATTTTTTCCCATGCCACCCCCTCATCGGTCCCACTCAGACTGGGTTTCTTTCTCCAAAAATACATATCGGGCCCGCTACCCAAACTATTCAAGGTCATACCCACTCTTTCTGCTTGGGCTCGCATCCTCGCCCTCACCGAACCTGAAAACTGGTCGCCTCATGCATGCAGAGCGGCGACTAGAATATTTATTTCTACAATGAAGCCTCCGCAGGCTCAGCTTTTCCTCAGTGTTGTACTGCTCGATGCGATCCGGGAAGATATTCAGGAGCACAAGAAACTCAATGTGCAGTATTATGAAGCCTTGAAGAGGGCATTGTACAAACCCGGTGCCTTCTTCAAGGGTATCATCTTCCCAATGCTCGATGTGTGTGACCCAGCTCTACGTCCTTTCCGACTGTGGTTGACCGATCATTCTTCAGCAAGGGTGTACATTGAAAGAAGCCGCAGTCGTTGCTTCTATCCTTGCTAAAGTGAAAATACCTGTGCTACATGCATCTGCGGCATTGTTACGGATAGCCGAAATGGATTATACTGGTGCCTTGACACTGGCTCCTCTCCTTTTGCATCCTCATTTTTACAATCCTTTCTAGGTCCCAATTCCCTTTTTATTCGAGTTCTCGTTGACAAAAAGTTTGAACTGCCATACAAAGTTGTCGACGCGCTTGTTTTTCATTTCATCCGGCTTTCAAATACCTACAAAGCCCGTAATCGTGGAGAGTCTGATCGTCTTCCGGTACTATGGCATCAAAGTCTGTTAGTATTCGTGCAACGGTATGAAATTCTCAGATTATGTCAATCGTCATCAATTTCTGAATTCCACATTTCATTCTCCCAATAGATACGGTTCTGATCTCACCCCAGACCAAAAGGACGCTTTGTTGGATGTCGTGCGAGCCACGCCACATGCGCAAATCAGCCCTGAAATCAGACGCGAACTGGTCAATTCCGTTGTGAGGGGTGCACCAAGGGATGATGTGAGCGAGGACTTTGAAATGGCATGATGTTGTAAGGCTTCTGTCTGATCCTATAGCTTCCTACATCTTCCTATAGTGAGATTTGTTCTGGTATTCATGCGATATGCAACTTGATCTCCTGCACACCGGTCCTACTTCGGAAAAGCTTGATTCATCACATGCACTAGGAGTCAACATGGTTTGTCCGCCCACACCAATCAGCATTTTTCCTTCTAGCTCAGATGTTCAGGACTATCTATCATATATTTTTCCTGTGATTTAAATGCCCTGTTATGTTTTGCTTGTTGCCTTGAGTCTCCTTCGACAAGATGTATATTCGTGGTTGCAAACGTGTCGACATTATCCTCTTTACTGTGACATCTTTGTTCTCATACATCGCTGCGATCACTATCCCAACAACAGCACCTTCGACCGCCGCTACGATTGATAGCTCTCAAGTCGCTGTTTCACTAGAATTTTTTGCTTTCCCTGGATATACAGAGCTGGTCTCTACAGGGACGTGTTTGGCAAACCTACAAGCATTACGAGGTGCACCTGTTGCTGTTCGGATCGGTGGTACAACTCAGTAAGTATCTCATACTGGGCTGATGAGTCCGAGCAAATATTCGAACTGGTGACGATCCAACTATGTAGAGATCGTGCGACCTATGATCCCTCCCTCACTACTGCAGTCAGCTATACCGTGGCCAGTCCCACAGATGCACCCACCTCACTCACGTTTGGGCCCTCCTTTTTCACTCTCGCTGCCAGCAACTTGAAAGGGAACGTCACCATTGGACTCAATCGGCAGCTCAACGACCAAGCCAATACTCTATCTGCTGCCGTACAAGCAAAGAACACCATGCCAAATTTGTACGCTATCGAGCTTGGAAATGAACCAGACTGTAGGATCACGTCGCTTTCCGTGACGAAATATCGTTGATGTTGATTCGTATGATTTTTACCCAGTATATGCATCCACCTCTCCAATCGTTCCTTCTTCTGGTTGGAGCCAAACCGCTGATGCTGCAAGTGAAAAAAGTTGGTTCACCGCAATTGCACCATCTGTAAGAACTCCATCCACTGGGAACTTCTTCACCCAAAATCAACGAGTTCAACTTATAGGTCGGAAACATTTTTCAAGCTGCAGTGTATCTCTCCTGGCGTACAGCAGCCACTATCCCCCTTCTGGGCACCAGTATCAGTAATGTCAGGACCGTTTCTGAGCATTCGTATCCGCAGTCAGCATGCGATGGGGCGACTACGAACTTGCAAACACTTATGAGTCACTCGTAAGCTTTGTTCCGGTTTGTACCTGTAGTAGCCCTGATATTTTCTTGTCAGTGGAATTGTATCTTATACGGCTGGCTTCAAGGACGATGCAGCTTCTGCACATGCGGCTGGTGTCAGATACTTCCTCGGTGAAACTAACTCTGGTGAGATTTTTTCTACAGTAAACCGGGTGCCTCATACATATATGGATTGTAGCCACCTGCGGTGGAGGGGGTATCAGTCCTACTTTTGGAGCGGCGTTGTGGATCGTAGACTACGTTCTCCAAGGAGCCCTCAATGGGGTGGAACGGTCGTACTTTCATCAGGGAACCATCGGGGATTGCGTAAATCTAAATTTGTCGATGTAATTAGAGGCACTGACCTCAATGCCGTAGCAATACTGCTGGTGGGGTCGGTAAGGCAAAAAATTACTATGAGGGGTCAGATTTTTACTGACCCACCACGAAAGCTTCACAACTGGCGCGCCTTTCTATGGAGCTTATTTCGTGTCTCAGGCAAGCGATTTCATATTCGAGTTTGATGTTGTCCTCAATATTCCTAGTTTCTTGGAACTGACGGAGCGAAACTCGAGATACTCGACGACGGGACTGGGGCGGTAGCGTCGTATGTGGTCTACAACTCTGCAGGCGTTGCAGTTCGTCTTTTAGTATACAACTCCAACTACTACGACGGAACCGGCACACGATCAAGCACGTCAGTCTCGTTCACAGGCGGAGGAATACCTTCTAGTGGAACTGCAACTGCTCTGCGTCTCACTGGGCCCAATGCAACCTCGCGAGTGGATGAAGGTGGCATAGTCACTATTGGTGGTGGTGTAACGGTACGTTATACGCCGTTTTTAATTCACACTGCTCATTGAGAATATATGTACGCGACGGCAGTTTGATGGCGATTGTAATGCTATTGGTACTCAAACCAGGGAAAATGTGGTGGTAACGGGGGGAAGCTTGACAGTTGTTGTTCAGGCTTCCGAGGCTTTGATTGTATCTCTGTGAACGACCTTAGTACAGCTACTATAGCACGTCAATGCAGAACTACGTGATTCAGACATCATCGACCACGGTGAATGATAACAAGTACTGTTACTTCAGCTTCAGTTCGATATAGGTGCAAGTGGGGTGGAGAGCCAAGAATATACCATTACACCGAGACCGTGTGCTTGTATCAGTATTCTCTATGAACCACTATTCTATCTAGACAAATTAAGTGAAGCGAGTAGGAAAGCTTTCTAAGTAAATCATGTTTTAGGCTGTATACGTCAGCGTAGGACGTTAAATTTTGGAAACCTTGAGCACCCTTGGAGTTATGTTACCTATATCGGAGGAGGAACAATCTTGTCAAGCGCGGGGGGAACCTGAAAAGTCTTTTCCGCAACTGGAGTGGCGGCTCCGGAGGCCGACGCAACTTTCTTCGAAGAAATGCCCCGTTTCTTCTGCAAACTACGGCAGAATCCCGATCCACCGACGTAGAAGAACAACAACGAACCCATGACAATGACATGCCCATACCAACCGAGTCTTGTCCATCCAGTGATAGAATTTTCCCAAGTAAGAAGCATGAAGGGTGACGCTACGTAGTTCAGCACTAGTAGAGAAATAAGAGCGCCGACGAAGTCATATAGACGTTTCGCTGTTGTGATGGGCTGGCCTTCAGCAGGAAGGAAGAATGGACGAAAGTTCATGCGGGCAAGACGCGCTGCACTGGTTATGAAGCCACCCATAAGGAATGTGAGGTAGTAGCCTACTTGAGCGCCATGCTGCAAAAGGAAGAGTTTAGGAATCAGTACCCGATGTATAAGGTATCACTTACCCAGAAGGCACTAGTTGCGAACGTCAACATACTACTCCAAAATCCGGGTTTTTGGCCTTTGGGTGTAATCCTTTTGTACACGCATTCCCTCAACCATACGTTAGCTTTCATGTTCCACGAGTCCAATAAGACCTTGAAGTTGCTTGGGAACTCGATGACGGTTGGAATAACATTTGCTGCACCGTTCCATGTCGACTGGCCTGTAGAGGTGAATCCAGTGAAGCCGTTCCCAGTAAGAATGCTTGCGCCTTCTGTGAGTGTCCAGATAGCGTAGTACTTGGTTCGCTCGCAAGTGCCGTAAAGCTGGGCCAAAAGGACTCTGTGACGCAAACTTAACTACTTTACCCATCTCAAGATCACAACATACCTTTTCAGCCAGCTTTGCTCTGCGAACCATGGTGTGACCATCACGGAGTAGTTATTCGAGCCTCCGAAAACGACGAAGACACCAAGGAAAGCCAGGCCTGTTACCATCTTGCGGTATCCCACACGCTTCCTACCCGCTGGAAGACGACGTCCCCCTTCATGCTTGCCTGGTGCAGTGAAGGTCCTTTCATGAACTAAGTTTATGTAATCGGTGAATTCCAGTGAGGGGCCGACCAAGACACCTGGGAAGTAGAGACTGTAAACCTATGAATATTATGAGAAGGGCAAGATACTAAAGAAGCGTACGCGTAGCCTAGGAACTCGAGCAATGACGGGAATTCGCGGACAGATTTTTCTAACTGCCATTTGTCTAAATCCTGGTCGTGCATTAGCGGACACTCCTGTCAGAGATATGTTGCATACCTTCGGATCCCGACGACCATCCCATACATTCCAGGCAAATGTCGTTAATTTCATAGTAAGCACCATTTGAGGTCCAGTCACTTCGATTGTTTCGTAACTTAGGTCATAGATGACACGTATGATATGGCTGAACCAAGTAGATCAGCCGACAGGCTCAGACTAGGCCGACAGCGTGAAGACACATACTTGAACATCAAGTGTCCCAAAATGAATCTACATGAACGAATGCGTCAATACGGAAGCACAAGAAATGAAAACGTAGTACGCACAAAAAGATGAACCACGGCATAACTTTGGAGGTCGAACTGAATTTGGCCGCGAAGTAGGTTATCAAAATATCACCTAACAATTGCAGAAAACCGGTATACATTCCCAACATGGGAAAAAAGTAGAACAAGGAAACACTGATATTGAAGAGATGCCTCAAGGTGGGTTTGTCGGCCGGAATGCGTACGAAGACGCTCCCAAGAGGGTAGGCAATGAGAAGACATGAAATGAGCTAGAATGTCAAGATCAATGAGAATGGGATCATTGCAACGATAAAGAATGCATATGATATTTATACACATACCTTAACCTGGTCCACTGAAGCACCCACGGCACCCGCTAGAGGCACGAACAACGCGTCCATGATGTATTAGAAAGACGTAGAGTGTAAAGTTGTCGACGACCAGCCAACAAACGGGTTGGAAGACTCAACAAAGCCTTGCAAACTGAGTGGCAAAGACAGGAGAGGGAAAAAGTTTGGGGACCAAGTTTTTTTGTCCGTTGCTGGCGCTAAAGCAACCCCAAACGGCAACTACGTGATTAACCCCAAAAAGGAACGTTCGTCTATCGAATCCCGCACTCATTTTTTTGCCCAAACTCAGAAGCCTGACCATTCTGGGGTCCTAGCTACCGTCATACCGCTTGACACCGAAGAGTCACAGTATAAGCATACGAGATGGGTAATAACATACTGCGTAACATAAGTATTTGTTTGAGAATACAAAGGGTACCGATGGCATATGTATTGCATATAGTGAACACCATCCCCTGCCCAGCTTGGCCAACCCAACTTTTGGGAGCTCCTTACACCTTGAAACCACGCGACTTTCGGCGACCACGAGCTTGTTCGAACTGGAGGAATATGAGATTAAATTCTTTGCAGAGAAATGTTTAACACTAACTTTGCGACCTTTGGAGATCGTATATGGCTTCTTGTGTTTGTGAGGACCTAGAGAAAATGTTTAAAACGAGAGTCCACGAAAATCGAGCCTGACTCTCACCCATGCCAAAGTGCTTGACGGCCTCGCGAGTGTTCCTTTGCCCGCGAAGCAAAACAGTGTTTGAACCGGTCGGTGCTCTCAGAGCAAGCTGATCGAGGGTAAGGATCTCACCGCCTGCATTCAGGATGCGCTCCTTGGCTGATCGGGTGAAGCGCAAGGCAGCAATCGTGAGTTTGGGAACCTCAGTCAAACGAATGTCATCTGTGACAGTGCCGACTTGAACGATGACTTTTGAGGAAAGATCGGGGGTTTTGGAGGTCTCTCGAACAATGCGGGATAGCGAAAGCGGAGGGCGATTTATTTTAGAAAGGAAAAGACGATGAAGAATGACCTGAAACAAAAATCAACACGCAACCCTTTGATCACTGACTGACGGAATTCGACCTTGTTGAAGCTTGAGTCCGTCCGGCGAGCCAAGAAGCGATATAGCTTTGGAAATGTTAGTTGAAGATATATAAACGATATCATTATACACACCTTGACAAGCAACAAAAGGTAAGGATCCTCGCTCTTCGGGGCGGTACGATTACCCTTCTTGACGTGGTGGGCAGTAAGGTCGATACCCTGTACCCAAGCAGCATAAGCTCCCAGCCTTCACACCCACATTTAACAACTAGCTCACCATCTTGATTTTGCGGCAGAATAAGTCGGTGTCGAGGATAGCGTCCGGAGCAAATGAAAGCGAATCAGTGTGATCGTGAGAAAGCTATACAGCCGCAAAGCACGTGGCTAGCTCATTTCCAGCTCCGCTCTAACGCATCTCTGTTCCCGCTGTTGAAGGTATTGCCTGCGTACTGACACCGCAGTTTACAGCGTATTGCAACCGTCTATACTCTTTTTCCTGCACAACTGTTGTGATATTCAGCAGACTTCGACCGATAAAGTTCAATCTGGACCATGGTGTGTTATTTTTCGTAAGACACAAGTGCTACTTTTCCCTAATAACGACGATTTTTTTCTAGTACGAAAACACAAATTTGCCTCCCGACCCTTACTCTCAGGATTATAATGATCCAGTGCCTCCCGTAGTTCCTCCCACTGATCGGGACCCTCTTCCCCCTCGAGGCCGTTCGAGGTCACGTAGCCCTCCTCGGGAGAATGGCTACAGAAGCCCATTTCGTCGTAATAGGTCTCCAGCCCCAGCAACCTCTGCTCCCAGGAGACCAGCGCATGCTCCTATTGTACGTCCGTCTGCTGCACCGCGTTGTGGCTTTGTGTTATGTTGTACTAACTGGTTAGTCCAAGGCCCCGAACCCCTCAAGCGTTCTCGGAGTGTTCGGACTGAGTATTCGTACGCAAGAAAGGGACTTGGACGAAGAGTTCAGTCGTTTCGGTCGCGTTGAGAAGGTGACCATTGTATATGATCAGCGTGTAAGTGACATCGTGTATCAATATCAATGGTGTGCATGCGGTTGTCCTAACAGTCCTCAATATCAGTCCGATCGCTCTCGGGGCTTTGGATTCATCAGAATGGCTACTACTGAAGATGCAACCCGCTGTATCCAAGAATTAAACGGAGTTGTGAGCGCAATCACTTGAAATCATACACAAAGTATCATATTCAAATCAAACGTTTAGGATCTCAATGGACGACGCATTCGTGTAGACTACTCTGTCACCGACCGTCCTCATGCTCCAACTCCTGGTGAATACATGGGTCATCGTCGTGCGACTCGGGACACACGCTATGACCGCGACAGGGAAAGGGATTACTATCGTGACTCTCGCGATTCGCATAGGGACCGGGATCGCAGAGACCGTGATAACTATGGCAGGGACTCTCGGGACTGGCGTGAGCGCCGTAGCCCCCCGCCTCGAAGCGGAAGGTACTCTCCGGAGTATAGACGCCGAAGGAGCTATTCTCGTAGCCCACCTCGGGGCAGTAGCCCTGCCCGTCCTAGTCGGGATTTTGACGCCCCTCCGGCGACAGAGGCGCGTTGGTAAATTCTTCGGCTCGTCGTCGTTCTGACAACTACGCTGAGTTCAATCTCAAAAAGAGAAGGTCCACGCAGCCAAAGAGTTTACCCTTGATTACGGGACCGTTGTCCTGTCGTTTCGTTCAAGTTAATTACCGTTATCTTATCACAAAAGAAGACTGGAACGCTCTTCAATAGTCCAAACTTCCCAAGTTGTCAAGTTTTCGTCGTCGTCTCAAGTTTTGTCTAGTTATCGTTTGCTTTCGATGTTCCATTTTTATTGCAAGTACAAGTACACCACCAGTCGTGAACTTAATCGCGTACATCTGGTACGCATCGTACTAAGCACCTTCTAGCATTGGCAAGGACAATATGGCTGCAATAAAATCCAAAACGTGTTCTTTACGGAAGGACGACAAGAATGGAGTCTGACATCAGGCGCCCATGGACGGATGAAAAATGTTGAATACGCCGGAAGAAATAAATTGCTGAAGCCTGAAGCACCTAACAAGAACTTGCGCCTAACTGAAAATGCTCTCTGCTGTTCTCAGGTTCCAGCATGAAGCTTTTCTTGATTCTCCTTCACAAACCAGGAACGACATGGGTGTTTGATGATTGGTGAGTGACTACTAATTATAGTTCGATCCTCCAGGACTAGTGTGGGTGTTTGTGGTAGTGTCGAGGTTGTGCTCGGTTATGTTCTGAAATTTACTTACCTGCGATTGCGTGTACAGTCATTCTCGACTACCAACTGTAAATTCATGTGTTGAAAACTTCATTGAAAGCTGGTATGTAGTTAAATTTGAGATACTACTACGATACTTGAAATTATATCACCTTGCTTGCAAGGTCTATTGCACTCCGGAAGTTAAGTTGTTTTGTGCAGGCACGTTTTGGTCTTGCTTGGTGCCACTCTTTGCAACAAACTAGACCAAGCATTACCAAACACAAATGCATGGTTCTAACCACTATGATGTTAATGACTTCACTTACAGTCCAACCCATGCTCCATCATAACATATGCTATGTAACATGTATATTTTTGCTATTAGTACACCCTGCCTATCACAACTACCTGTCAAGTCCATGCCTCGGGCCTCCATTCCGCCGCTCGGTATTCCGAAGATCCATCTTTATTGTATTCTCTCCTTATTGTTCTTTCTCGCTACACATACCCTTTCGTTCTAGTCCCTCCTTATTGTCTTTTACTTTACCCTGCAGGTACTACACGTATAGCTCCTAGTAGTTAGTCTGGCGTTCCGCACCGATGCGCCGCTCCGTAGATATAAATACTGCCTGTACGCTACTGTAGTTCCTCAGTTTAATTATCAACTTAGATTCCCTCCTTAACTCTGTGCTCCTCTAAGTCTTCAGGCTCATTGCCTCGAAGTACTCTCTACTATAACCTTAGGACTTAGACGTTCTTTGGTTTGCTCCTCGTCACCGGCAATACCGCCGCTCCAACTTGGCTGCTACTTAGCTCCTCCCTTCTATACTCTCGATCTCCGGGGACTAACGGCGTAACAGTGGTGTTGTTAATAACTTCACTACTGTCCCACTCGACCTCCCGCTCTTAGACACCTTGTGGCCTCTGACACGGTTACACGGTGTACATGATCTTAACACTACCCTCTGACACATTCCTCCTGCATTATATTCCACTATGATTATGCTCAACATCCATTGCATACAGTGTTCGAGGGTTCCTTGATACAAAACTTCATATATTTGTTGCGACTTTTGACCTGTATCTTTTGTTTTGAAACTGGGTATCATGCAAAGTGTATTTAGAGGGGTTTGTGGTACTTCAAAAAGCTCTGAGAGGAAAAATGCAATTGAGGGGAATTAACTAAGAATATTGCTGATTTGTCATGCTTTTGGGCTCATTGAGACAGCATGACAGTGTTACGTGCACAGCCATTTGATCATTGTGGCAAGCTTACCTGGTTAGCCGCCATTTAATCGCTTTCACCGCTATTGCTCTGTGAGTCATCATTGGTATCGCTCGGTGAATCTGGTTCCAGTTCGTTTTGGAGATGAAGGGTTGTGAGTGCCTTCTTGCTGATATGAGCTGGTTTTTGAGGCAAGTCTTTTGCTTTTACCCTTTTCTCAAAGCTGTGCATTCTCTGTTGTCCATGCCTTTACTTCCCCTTCGTGCTTCACCACTGTTACACTGCTAGTCCCTGGAGATCAAGAGTAGAGAAGAAGGTAACTAGGAGCAGCCAAGTTGGAACGGCTTCTCCATTGTTATAGGACTATCTTTCCTACCATGCATATTTATATACAACCAATTTATCATTTTCTACTTACAAGATACATCTTCTTGGATAGTTTTGAAGGCTCAGCTAAGCCATGATGGACCAAATAATCATCCGGAGCCACACAATCCTTGATGTTCAAAAGAGACTCCCAGATAACATCATTGTCGACCCATTCTACCATGAACATCAAGCCCTGCCCAATCCATTTATGGCCCAAAATTGACCAAATCGCTGTTTCAACTGTCTCATCTTCTTTGCTTACCCCATTATCCTCTTTTTCAAAGCTCATCTGAGGATCCTTGGCATTGTCAGTCCCTGGGTCACCAGTAATTGGTACATCAAATGACTCATGAGAGTCTACAGGATGCAAGCTATGGAAGTTGGAATCAGAAGGGGGAATAGGCTGGGGTTTAGGCCTTGGATGTGCTTGTTTGAGTGGTGCAGTGGGAACAGATGAAGTGAGAGCAGCTTTATAATCCAAGTCCGAATCCATTGAGTTATCATTTTCAGGTGCGTGATCTGTGTGATTCAATGAGGATGTCTCTGAACTTGAGTTTTCAGACTGGTCTGCCATAGCCTGGGTCTGTCCTCGTCCCTGCCCTTTTTGAATATGTCCGTTAACGAGCTTGCCTCATTTTTGTGTGAAAGAGAATGGAAGGAATCTAATGGGCACTCCAACCAACCAATCTACTGCACAATATGCGAGTTCACTGCTATCAAATTTATTTAATAGCAAGGGGTAGCATTGGCAAAAGTTCCGCAAAGCTTTGAAAGCTAAGTAAGAAGCTTTGATCAATCAATTTGAATCGTTCTGAGGATTCAATATATTCCTTTGATCAAGGTAGATTCAGCATGATTTGTGCTTTGGTTTGTATTGATTTGGGTATATCAAGAATTGGGGGTTTGAATCAAAGTAAATTAAAACCGAAACACACAGACCCCTACAGAGGGCTAGAACTATGTGCTGGCACAACCACACAGCATGATTTGCCCTTAAGACCAACGACTGATCCTAAGTTCGAAGGATATCCAACAACTGGATATACTTCTCGCAGTCACAAGGAGCAGAACACAACGTTCCTATACTCACAAGTGCCGGGCCCGAATGGCTGCTAGCGAAGAGGTTTCAGTCTGGCAGGAGTGTGTCTTTCCTTTTTACAGATTAGCACTGCAACATCGTCCCAAAATCACTTGTATTCCAGATACATCGGATCGCTATTTATACATACAGAATATAGAGTCGCACAGTACAATTAATTTAATACAATAAACGTTCAGAACCGCCAGGAAACTTCTACACTCGGTCAGATACCATTTAATTTGAATCTACATGTCCTTATTTGGCCCATATTGGTTCCAAGATTTTAGTATACCTCCAAACATAGGTAGGTACTTCGATATTCATTTAATTTAATTGTTTTTTGGAGAATGACTCGAATGGTGTTCAACTGTCATTGCTGTTCAACACTTACTTCGATCGTTTGTCACCTCGTCCGGAGGCAAATCAGCTCTCCTCGATTCTAATCCTATCAATCTGATTCATCTGGATTAAACTAATTGCTTCTCTCTTTCAACAGACACCCATTGTGCCTATACTCTATCAAGGGAGTTACGCATAGTATTCATTTAATTGCATTCTTCAATATTTTCTACGTCAGGACTCTTTGACATTCATTTGATATGTCTTCAGAGCCTCGCAGTACTTCGATCGTTCTTCTAGTCATTTTCCTCAAACATGCAACTTGATTGGTCTATTAGACTAAATCGCAGTCTTTTAGATTAATGCATGATCTCGTTCTAGAAGGAGTATTTGATAATTCCTGAGTTCTAGAAAGTCATTTCGAGTCAATCCTCGGCTCATGGTCACTTGAGTAAGTTCTTCCAAACTCCTGCCAGTGTAAGGTCCAATAAGAATACCCTTGGTATGTCATACGTGAATAGTCACCCTTCGGATGTAGTCCGAGTCTGGTATAATCCTGCTTGACAAACAGGTAGACTGCTATCCGAAGGTAGTATCGGGGATGAGTAAACTAACCAACTTGTGGTAGTATGGGTATATGGTCCCTTCAACTTATTAGACTGATTCAGTATTGACTTTGACTGTCAATCTGGGTCTCAATTACAGTCCTCTCGGTACAAATCTATACGTGAAAATGTCACAATTCACAGCATAGACATCTAGCCAAAATTTAGGCATGTTACCGTGTCCATGTCCACATCCACGACTGCAACCTCTGCCAAGTTCTCTTTGTTGCGCTGCCTGGAATTTTGATTCTCGTTCCCGCTAATTTGTATCCCAAACAATTTCATTGATTTTCCCTACTATAGAGGACAGTTTCCTTTAGGCCTCAATATTAATTACAACTGTTGGTGGACACATGGGACTACCTCAAAATCCATCTTACTGTAATCTATCCAATAATCTAGTATCCTATTCCACCAAAAATTATTGGTTTTAATTCAGCATTGTGGCTTGGAAGAAACACTCTCTCCTCAATACAAAATAAACAGCGCGCTTGTGGGGCAATTCAAATTCCTACAGCTGTTGGAAATCAGCAAATCTTGTTTTTTGTGAGCTAAAAGAAAACAAAATTATACTGTCATGCCCTGTCCCTAAAAGCTCCCCTTGTTCACCCTCCTAGACATCCCAGAGCTGCTTACCAGCTCCTCCGCACCTCCTGAATAACCTCCCATGAACCCCCCAGGAACTGTCATAAAGTATGCAGCCCCTATCATTTTCCTTTTCTCACCGTCTCGACGCCTTTACTTGTACGATACATCATCCCATCACTGTCAAACCCCCATCGATTACTGATCCACCTGACCCATCTTCTCTTTCTACTGGCTTCCGCCACCTTCCTTGTTCCTAAACTGTACAGTATTACATCGTTGTTTCTCACAGACCGGATTATGTATATATAGCCAACCCTCCACAGCCTGGTCCCTTATCTTGACCTCTCTGTCATTATCTGGGACCAGGTATGTACTTACTTACTACTACCTATGACTACGATACTCAATATATCTCTGTCA